CAAATGCCATACGATCAACTGAACTTGTAAAAAATCCTTCAACATGCTACCATTCATATCATCAACTTCTAGACAAGTAATTAATCAAACTTATAATTATTCTATCGATGGAAACAAATACATGTGCATATCCTACAAATAACATTTATTATGCTAATAATGCTAATGTTTCTAAATAGAAATGGTACCGTCTTAACAATAATATTTCATTATCTGATAGTCATTAACTGATATATATTTTTTTTACAAGATCTATTATTTGTTTAGACACAATTAGATTGAAAAATTCTAGTATTACATGTTCTGTTATCGCATTTTTCTGTTCATTACATAATAAAGACAAAATTCATCCAAGTCGAATGAGCCACCGAACTAATCGATCAGAAATAACAGATACAATCAAGATCGACTGATCAATTTAAATGGGTAATGTGACAACAATCCGATAATGATAACGGTTGATTCTCCATTTATACTTCCTTGGTTTGTATCTTCCATTCACATCATTGAAAATTCTTGCGATTGGACTATCGCTCAAGACGCAATACAAAACAGTCATGTAAGCGACGCTAGGGTTCAACAGTTAACGGTAATACACGTCACTTTGTCCTAATTGCGTTTAGAAAACTTTTCCATTTATTACCATGGATGAAAGTGTGTAATACTATTTGAAATTTTTTCAAATTTATTCAACATGTTTAGCTAATAATAATTCCACATTATTACAGAATATCTATTATTATATTAATTAATTAGTTCAACTAATTAATGGCAAAATTAAAAAATTGGATTTGACGCATGAGATATTAAAGTCACGGTGCTAATAAATAATGAAAGTTTATGCAATTTCTCTATTTTATTTGTGCCATTTTCACAATAAATTTTGCCTTTAAATGAAACTAAAGTTAACGCATTAATAAATTCACTTTTTTCAAGTACCTCTTATGTTTATAACTATTTTCATCGACTATATATCTATTTATAATTATTCCATCTTCAAAAATAAAAACTGTATTGATGTAATTAAAGCAATGTAACTTTCAAGAATAATTTTAATTAAAAAAAAAAAAAGAAGAAGTAACGAATAGAATAGTAGACTTAGAACAATAGAAGTGTTTACTGTAATACTTTTATGAAAGAATAAAACACATTTTACTCGTTCACATTCTGGAAGGCTGACGAGACAAGTATGACGTAGAATTAATTTTCTATTTGACTTTGGTAATTAACTACATAATTTTCGTGATTGTTTATATGCATTTATCATTCGTTGTGTGTAAGTTACATCAATCATCGCAATGACATTCGATTTTTGATTCTAGAATATACAATCTGTTGAATCATACAGATATTTTTTTTATTTTTGGCAGCAGTGACTCTTAATGATGCTATCAGAAGACGTCATGAACCCACTGTTTGATGTAATATTATATATTACCAGAGTAAAATTGTCATACAATAAATTAACAAGATAATTTATGCACTGAAATATTATTAGCATTAGTACTATTTACTTTAAAAAATGAAATTACATATAAAGAAGTCAAAAACGAAGAAATACCTACTGACGTATATCCTCCAGCTCATCATCGCGTGATTTACGTCTAGGCTTCGTGTTATGGAGATGATGATGGTGTTCATTTATATATATGTGTACTTATACATGGATATAAAGGTTGTGCAAGTAAGGTTCATCGTTCCGCGAGTGCAACTTTCTCATTCATAATAAAAGCCTTAGGCACTCTTATGGGTTAAGGCTACGCTGTCATTGAACTACATTCTCACGTGTTTTCATCTTCCTGAAACGTAAAAAAAAGTTATTTAAAACTCATCAATTACAATACACGTTTATTCAATTTATTTTTTAAAACAAATATCAAATAAATTCATTAACAAAGTCTGTTTTGTATTTATCCTTGTCGACAATTATCTAAGTTAAAGCTCATGCGGGTATTAAGTTCATGCAAGGGATAACTAAATTTTGTGGGTGCTAGGTAGTAATCAGAAGATAAATCGTATCCTTAGGTAACACAAAACAGGGTATACAGAATGAGAAGGAAAGTTTGTACAATTAATTTATTTCATAGGTGAAATTGTATCATGATCGGAAAGTATTATACTTACAGGATGAACGTCCTTAAACGAACCTAGACCTCACGAGTATTAATTTTCAAGGACAACTTGGAATAGTGGGCACTGGGTTGAGGTGAAGATATGTGATGTTGATGCAGGTACAACTACATAAACAAAACTCATGTTTAGTTTTAATTTAATCTCTATGAATTCTATAATTATTACGGGTATTTACATAATATAAATAGATATCTATGTATTTGTAATTTTAAAAATTATTATTCAACGAATCAAATGATTTTTGAGCTAAAAATATAGGAATGATGTTATGATTTTGATTTACTAAAATTGATGTAATAAATTAATTTTATAAACTTGATGTAAATAATTTATCCATATAGCGGAAGTGTAATATTTACTATGGACTACTTCCATTTCGTGGTAACTGACCTTCGTTTTATAGAAAATGCACCGCTACCAGCAACTATATGTATTACTAGCCAGCCATGCAGTTTCGCTACTTCTAACATGTAGTACCGTTTTTTCAAAATTAAACTCTCAACTTAATTTCTGTAATCATACAATATACACATGAAATTATTTTTTGAACATATTGTATTTAAGCTATGTAATAAAAGAAAAAATTATTATAATAGTAATGTTTAAAATTTGAATACATGCAGAAATATATTTTATGGTGAAGAGAAAATAAATAAATTCAAGAATGAAGTTGGTGAATCAATTTAAAATTATACTTACTACTGCTACTTATTTGCGAAGCATAAAATAAAATTTTTGGTATTATAATATCCTTCCTGATGTATATCTGATATTGATTGAATAAACAATCATCCAACATACGTAATGTGTTAAATACATGATACGTATGAAAATAATTTCATTCCATGCTTGGTGACCTTTATCCTTTTCTCATCTCGACCTTCAATCTAAGAGATGTTTAAACCGGGAAGTTAGTAGTCAAACGGCAGTCTTCGAGTTGTGTTCCTTCTCTCTCGGTGGCATCGACCCTGCTTACAAACGTTCTCGGGCTGTACATGGCGCTAAAAAGAAAGAATGGAGGAAAAAATGAAGTGCGTAAACTTGTGTCTATCCCTGCCTACATACTTATCATTCATTCACTTGAATTCTTTCAATATAATAAGAGCATAAACTGCTAATGTGTGATGTTCTCAATCGACAAGATACTAAGACCCCTTGAGAGATTGAGGTTTGGTTAATTGACAAGAAATAGATATTAGGTTATATGTAACTAACTGACATATAAGAAAAATCAGCAATATATATATATATATATATAAAATAAAAAACACATAGGTGTATATATATGCCGACTAACACCTGTGTAACGAATGTGCGAGAGCGCAGTTGTCAGATGGAAGTCCATCTTTGATGGAGGTTACTTCGGGACATTGTCCCACATCTTCTTGGATATGAACTTGTATCTTCGTTGAACTCAATGCATTCTCTTTCCCTGTTCTTGTACCTAGCCGACGATGTACACAATCCCCCTCCCGCACTCGATCAAAATGAAGAATGCCAATTGGCTCTATCTTTCTCTTCATACCAGTTTCCTTTTCTTTTTTCGACTCACAGGATAAACTCTCGTTATCCTTTATTATTTTTCATTGAAATCTATCCCTATTTATTACAAATAATAAGTTACTTATCTTTCAATTTTATATATTCTTACTAATGAATGATAATTATTATTCTTACCGATGTCAATAATGATCTTGCATTAAATTTTCTATTTTTTTAATGCCATAATAGACACGAATATATTTATTCATTAATTTTTATTACATATTGATATTTAGTAAATTAGACGACGGAATGCGTATGAAGAATCTTGAAGGTACATTCAACTTTGCGTTGAATGACCTTGGACAATATGTCCTGTAGATTTGGTAGACACATGATATTTTATACCGGAAGTAATTTCGTTACGCTATGTTATGTAATAAATAATAAACCATATTAATTATGTTTTTTCTCTTAACTACATAAAATATTAACCAATATTGTAGTTATTTTAGTATTTAAACTAATAGTATATCGTAAATCTATTCAAGGTCAAGTTCATGCGTTTAACCTTCAATTTCATTGTCAACTTAAATCCATGTTTCTCTTTATTATATAATAAATATAACAAATCGTTTAAAAATTCTTCTATAACTTGTTGCAAAAACATACTGATTAAACAATTTATTATATAAATAAAAGAAGCGATGATAATTCAGCAAAATGTGAAAAGTATAGTAATATCATCATTAAATGGTTGGATCAATATTTTACATTGTTTTTTACATTTTTTTTATCTATTAAGTGCGAGAAACTGCGGTCGAAGACACGAGAAACGAGTAGTTACGTAAGAAAGGTAAAGAATCTCTTCTGCTCTCCTTGAGCGATCCACATCCGCGATTATGCCACTTTCCATTGACCTCACTTTATCATGGAAACATCGCGCACGCGCAGCTTTATCAATCACTGTTATTGTTTGTTGAGAATAGTTATATATTTAAAGTACATATGCATAGTTTAATCGAAATATTTACAGTGACAAAGCATTTAATTGCCATGAGTAATTATTTAATTTACTTTTTACGTACAAAAATGGATAAATAATTTTAGTCGTATTTTAATTGATCAAAAGCTCCATGAAATCGTGTGTTGAATGTCTCTATTAAATAACTCTGACTGTCCACTTGATGTCGACCATGTCTATTTACATTGTGTAAATTTAAATAATCATTCTGTTCAGGTTTATTTAAACTTCAATAAACGACACAAATGAATTCATATAGTTTTGTATAAACTTATTATTTTGACAAAAAATATATAAATTATCAATAAACTTTATTATTATATAACAAAACATTTTAATTATAATTTCTGTACATTATAATTTATAATTATATAACAATCACCGTGATAAATATTTATATTAATTAATATTTGTCTTTTAATTATTAAAGATTTATTGAAGAATGGTAATATACTAGTATAAATAATACTAGTAGTAAGTGGCTTTCAGTACTGAAGGAGGGTTTTCAATTATATTTTTACTTTGTATCAACTTTAACTCTTTCTTCCGCACATCCTGCATATTTGGATCCTTACATGCTATGTAGAGGAAAAAAAATAGATTTCAAAATATCACGACAAAATTGAAAACATAAATTAATCGTTATTCAATTACCTGCAGCATATTCATAAGTTTTAAGCAATATAGAATGTAAAGTGTTTATCGTTTTTTCTAATGCACTTTTCAAATCTTTCTCTAAAGTAGAATGTGCTAGAAATAAAGCAGCAAAAAGATCTCCTGAACCAGTATAATTGATTGGAATCTTTGGAATGTTGATTGTTATCATTTCTTTGTCTAAAATATATTTAATGGACAAATAATAAATTTTTTAACATATTTTTGAATAAAAGTTTGAAATTACCTCTACAGTTTCCAGCGACTGCAATTAATCTGTCATTAATATCTGTGGATGATATAACGACTGTTTTGGGCCCTTGCTTGTATAAATAATTAATAGCATCTTTAACATCGTCTAAAGAATGAATTTTCCGATTAGTCAACAATCTAAAAAAATTTTTTAAAAATACATATTTATTCAAATATATTTACTGAGATCATATAGTAGAAAAATAATTTTTTTACTAAATTCAGTAATAACAAATAAAAAAATTTTTCCAAGAAATAGTAAAATTTTACTCTAATTCGAATTGATTGGGCGTTATGATATCAGCTAATGGTACAATTTCTTTTTTATATATTTCGACTAGTTCTTCTGGTATGTACAGTTTTCCATTATCACCCATAACTGGATCGCATACTGTAAAATAAACATTTTGCTTATCATAATGTCTTTAAGTTATTACATTAAACATGAAAAATTAATGATAAATTCATATTATTTACGAACAATAAATAAGTTTAGGATTTTTTGCTTTCAACATCGAAACAAGTTTTGATATGTACTTTAAAAAAGATGCTGAACCAACATATCCAGTGAGTAAATGACTGTAGTGATGTAGGTCATTTGCAACTAATCCTTCCATTAACTGACCTGCAAAAAAATTCATTAAAATACTTGATAATTTAAAAAAATTGTTTTTATTAATTTTCTTACTCAAATTTTGATCATCCAGAATATCTCCTTTCGTCGTTTTATAACCAGTATGATTAGATAATTGTACCGAATTGATGGCATCAACTTCAAACCCTAGTAGCTGTGACAAGAAGTAGATAACATTAAGCATATTCCACTATTTATATTTGACATGACATAAAATATCAATCTGATAAACTGGAGGCTGCTAAATCAAATTATCTTATTTAATAATATGTCATTAAATACTTTAATAAAAAATTTCATTTGATTCTGACAATTTTATGTTTTAAAATTCTTATTAAATCGATTATCAATAGAAAAAATACCATATTATCAACTAATAATCAACAATTATATTTTTTGGAGTAAGGAATTTACCTGGAGTGGAAAAGTTGCACTCTTATTGCCCACATAGCCAGAAACAACATGACTTTGAATAGATAAAACGTGCAATTCATTATTTGAATCCATTGCACTAATTTTGAGGTAAAATTTTGGAACACAGTAGAATTAAAATTTTCTATGAAATAGAAGTAAAAGACAAGTGATTCATACAATCACAAAATTGTTTCACAATTAAATTAGGTATCAAACAACTAATGTTCTATCACCTCTCGTGTTCATTAATAATGGTGTTTAGCATGAGACATTGATTTAAATATGTGTATTGGAGCTTGTGTATTTAGATAAGAGAAAAGTAGTTATCATTAGTATAACCTTCAACATAAATTTACTGCGTCATTTTAAAATTGATAAAATTTAAAAAATTCATTTTTTAATAAATTAATTATGTAAAGTTTATCGATTAATAATGAATAGAAAAAATTTATCAAATTCATGGAATTAAATTTTTTCTTATAATAACATTGTTTAAATTTTATCTAGAAAAATGACATTTAATATTTCTCAATAATTCACTAACCTTAGTTAACAAGAAAAGAGTCTAACTTGTTATATACTTACTTGTTTATTGTTTATCAATTTTAATTTAATTTATTATTATTACTTAATACTATTTATTGTTATTCTTTTATTTATGGAAGACACTATTTTGACATCGGAAAATTATAAAAAGCTTCAAAAAAGCTACAGAGAACACCAAAGGAGCCGGATTTGGATTATTCAAACTTTTAGTACGTACTCCGATAACGTAATGTCGCTACTTGTTTACCTTGAGAATGTCGTAATAGTAGATCGACTAAAAGATTAAACAGTAAACTGAAGAATTACCTTAATCCTTTATTGTATTTTACTGACAAATTTATATAAATAATTGAGATTTTATTTCTTAGAAGTAATGTATTCTTTCCATCATTATTAATTGCCTTATTTTTAATTCCTCGATAGTTTTAGTGGCGGTGTTTAAAAAATCCCGCGTAACATCAGCGCCACTGATCCTTTTTGTTTGTAACTACATTAGACAGGCGTTATAAAACTTAACCTGTTCATTGCATCATACATATTGTTATAAATATCGAGGTTTATCCCGTAGCTCAATTTCGAGAGTGGATGTATTATGGTGCTAAATGGAGATAAACAAATACCCAAATAATAAAAAATTTTAAAACACTGACTCTGTGGAAGATATTTTCTAATGTACTTTAAAACTTCGAAAGTTAGCGTAGTGAATGTTGATAGATAATCGACAGAAAACATGGCGACGTGGGAGAATGAAAAATTTCCAGAAGATTTAAATACCAATGATCTTGATAATGATTTTGATGAAATTCTTGTAACACACGCTCTTGAGGATTGTCTTGATGATAGTCTTGATTTATCTAGCTTTAATAAAGTTTATGAACAATCAGAAACGTTAAACAATGGAAAATATTCTGATGAAGATGCCGCTTACATTTCGAAATTACCTGATGACAGTTCAGGGTAAGAAATTTTTATTTATAAATTTAAAATTACTTTAAAAAGTTCATTACATTCGAATAATTTTTATTTATAATTAAAGATGAAGTTTTGAATTTGTTTGTATATACCATTTATTATTATTGACGATTAAATAATCAGCAAGATCTGTTCTATCTCATTCCCTTATAAGGTCACTGGTAGATTTGAAACAGATAAAAAAATATACCCCACAAATTTTTTCTAAATGTAAGATCATTTTTCACCAGAAATAATTAAATTTATTTATTAAAAATGCATTAGATATTCTAAAATTTGAAAAATCATTTTAGTTTTATTTATTAATCGTAACTTTGTTTAATCGTTATTTATTTCCATTGAACAATAAATAATTTAAAAAAATTTTACATTTTATATTCTTAACTCAAAAATATTATATTAATAAGTAAATGTCCTTCACACTAAAAATAAATTTAATGTTTTGGTGTAGACTATTAAGTATGATTTCCCAATATCAGGCATAATCTTCATGTTACATATGTCATAAATAATGAATTCTGTAACAGGTGTATTGTTGGATTTATTATAAAATTGTATTATTCCATTATGATTAAAATAACTATATAATAAATTTTAAATATAGATGAAACAACAAACTATCATTATTGCTGTACATCGTTAAAATTTGATTAGTAAACTGATTTACATGCAATGTCAAATACTTTTTTTTTCCTTTTTCTAAACTTTAATTATTTTTTCAGATATATACATCACACTATCAGTTCAAATGAAATTTATATGCGAATCCATCCGGGCCAAGATGACTCAATGCCTGATGATCCATCTCATGCTACAATTACTATCGAAAGTACGGATCCAGATACTAATCAAAAACACATTAGTCGGTATGAATGCGAATATGAAGGATGTTCACGTACATACAGTACAGTTGGCAACTTAAGAACTCACATGAAAACGCATAAAGGTAAATTTTAAATGATGTTACAGAATTTCTTACTAACTGATAGAAGCTTAGTTGTAACCATTTATCCTCTATAAGTGATCAAAGAATAGTTATTATTGACATTAAAACTAATATATAATAATAAATCGAATGTGCATTAATATGAATGTAGATTTCAATAATCCGTAATGCTTGAAACAATCATTTTTATTATATGACCATTGCATCTGCTAATAATTAATGAAAATTAATCCATTATTCATTCATTATACAATAAAATTAATGCTTTCTGATGACCGTTGGGTAAGTAAATCTTAACATAAAAAGTCATTTTGTATTTTGAAAAAAATCCACTTAGTCGTTTCTTTCTGCAGTTATAAAATGGAATCGCAGAACGGGAATTGCATTAAAGCTTCTTCGTATATTCAGCTCTTGTCTATAAATATCCTTGAACGTCCGATTGTGATTGCAAAGGGATTGCTTGGATCTGCATGGCTTTCGGTTAGTGCGTCAAAAAATTCTGTCAAAATTTTTTTCGAAAAATTCAAACGATTACTAAATTTATTCATAAGAAAATGGCATTTTAACAATTAACTTAAATAATATTTATTTATTACAGGTGAATATCGATTCAAGTGTACTGAACCGAATTGTGGCAAGGCATTTCTTACATCTTACAGCCTTAAAATTCATGTTAGAGTACACACTAAAGTTAAACCATTTGAGTGCAACCATGACGGCTGCGAAAAAGCATTCAATACTTTGTACAGGCTACGAGCACACCAAAGATTACATAGCGGGAATACATTTAATTGTGAAGAAACTGGATGCGTTAAATTTTTCACAACACTCAGTGACCTCAAAAAACATACACGAACTCATACTCAAGAACGACCATACAAGTATGCTTCGTTTAATGAATGATTTATTTATGTAGATTACACGAATTAATAGTAGTAAATTTTTCATAAAGGTGTCGAGAAAAGGGCTGTGGAAAGGCGTTTACAGCATCTCATCACTTGAAAACTCATAGGAGAACTCACACTGGAGAACGGCCTTACATGTGTACTCATAATAACTGTCAGAGATCCTTCACAACTCCACACAGTTTGAAAAGTCATTTGAAAACGCACAAAAAAGTAACAGAAATAGTAGATGTTGTAAGTAATATGCTAATATTTATAGTATTGGGTTGTTTTAATTAAAAATTTTCGATTGTCGTTATTCATTATAAATATTTTTGGTAGATCCAGAAAGATAATTCACCGTTACTGACTTCAATAAATACCCCCAAAAATTCTTCAACAAGCATTACAATTATTCCAATGAATAATAATTCAAATATATCGTATGCAGCAGAAAATCAAGCTAAAAATAATACTATTTTGAGTATTAATAATATAAATAATAATTTCAATTTTGATATATCAAGTACAAATAATGAACAAATTAATAGTACAAATAGTAATATACTAGTGGATGCAGGATTTCTCTCCACAGAGCATAGTTCAGCCAAAGAAAATAATTTTACAAATAACACCTATACCAAATTTAATATTTTTATGGAAGATAATCATGAACAAAGCCAGAAGAATTTTAAAAAATCTGATAATTTTATTCAAAATTCCCAGCTTACTGAATTTCAAAGTGATTTGAATATCAGCGAGCCTGCACAGTTGAATTTAGAACAAAAAATAGTACGAGATGGAATTCAAAAAACTATTGATCAATTGACTGATACATCAAACAATATTCTATATCATAATCAATCTAATAACACTGATAATATTTTAAAGAAGAATACTAATTCTGAATTTTTTGAAGATAATCTTCAATCGTTAGCATTTTCAGCTGAAACTAATATAGTACCTCAGCATATCAATCATAATAATAAAAATAATGATAAAAATAATAATAGTCATAATAATGAAAAATTAGAGGCTGTAGAATTAGCAATAGCATCAGAAGAAGAGATTCCGTCACCATGGTTTAATGTTATGGCATTGGCAGCTGCACCAGCACTCAGGACAGAATCATGGGAAGAAGTAAATGCGTTTCCGACGGCAGTGCATTCACTTGTTGATTTAGTTGGGCCAGAACCTTATCCATTAGAACTAGGAAATCAATTGGGAATAACAGAAATAGTTGATAAAGTTACTACAGAATTAGTAACAGTATCTCCAAAAATAGTAAATAATACTTCAATTACGCCTACAAATAAAAAGAATAATAACACAAAAAATAGTGATAATAATGTCAATAAGAAACAAGAGAGAAATATTTTACAAGAAATAACTGCTGATGCGAATATCTGTAAATGTTCAGATTGTAGATGCAACGAAACAAAAAATTGCCAGGATTGTCCAACAGAACCATCAAAATTAGACAATACTGAACAATCTCAATTAAATATAATTAATGAAATAGTATCTCGTTTACAAAGTAAATGCGTTTGTACTAATGAAGAATCAGAATGTGGATCATGTTGTATTGTAATTTGCTTAAAATCTCTACAAAAGTTACAAAAAGTATTTAAACAAAATTGTTGTAAAGAAATAGAACGTTCAGGGTGTTGTAAAAGTAAGGCGGCCAAACAATCGAATTTTTCGTTTCCGATCAATACAAATGAAGTAACAAATAATCAGTAGAAATTTGTGTGTGTATATATATATATACGCGCAGTCAGTGTAACTAGTCAGTTTTGGAAACTTTTTACTTATATAATTGGTTTAATAAATTAAGTTCATAATTTTTTGCATTTAGAGCTTATCATTTAATTTTGTGAAAAGTGTTAAGTTTGTTCGGATATCAATTATATATTTTCATGATAAAAATTTATTTCAAGCTTGAAAACTGTTAAAATTATAAAAGATTATGCAATAGCAGGCTTCTTCATATTAAGTCAAATTAATCATTGTTGATATCTAAATAAAAGTTCAATGTATTTATTGTTACTCAAACCTTTGTTATATTTTTTATGTGTATATAAAAAAAATATCAACATAATTTGAATATTGATACATTTTTAAAATATAATAAATAGATTATAATTTTAATCTATTTTGTGAAAACGAATTAATTTTATTTATAAAATTATTATAATCAATAAGAATAAAAAACAAAATAATAAACTTATTAATTTGGTGAAGTTTTAATCATTTACTGATATATTTAATGAAAAAAATAATTAATTTTTGAACGTTATTATTATTGTTATTATTATTACACGATATAACAACGATGAAATATTATAATAGATAATATCTAACATCTCTATCTCTAATATTTAGACAAATGATGATCTTCCAATTAATTTATGCTCTTATTATGATTTTTAATGGTTCAAGATGAAGCCTGTACTAATGCTTCAGCAACTTCAACAGCAATAGCAGCTTCAGCTTTATCTTTTTCAGACGATGCTGATGTGAGTTGTTGTTGAGCTTTGCTTAATAATTCTCGGGCTGCAGAATTATCTAAATTTTCTACCGGATGAGCCTCTTCAGCCAAAACCTGAAATAAACTATGATGTATTTAATTTTTCATTTAATATTTAATTGACACTGCTGAAGAAACAAATAAATCATTATTTAAAGTACCTGAACACTGGAATCTTCATTGATGGTCACGGTTCCAGATGATACAAACACCTTTTTTGTATTAGTTGCATCTTCATATACTGTTACTACTCCAGGTTTTAAAACAGCTAATGTAGGAACATGTTTTGGTAAAATACCAAATGAACCAGAGAAAGACGGTACATCTACTTGACGAACATTAGCATTATCATAATACACCTATCAAAAGTTTAAAATATTATTATAATACAACAGATTAAAAGTTAGTATTATTTATCATCTATCTACACTTTTAAATACCTGATTAGCTCCAGCAAACGTGAATTTCATTTCATTTCCTGATGCCTCAGCATATGATCGTGTTTGGTTACGAAGTGTTCGCATTACTGATCGAGTGCATCGAGCTAATGTTGCCATATTTATTTCTAAAATAATGTATTCGTATGTATTAATTTTATATTAAATATAAAGTGTTTGACACAAGTGTTACATCACAGTTAATGCATAACCCCTTATTGTTATATGTGATAACTACGACATTATTATCAATGAAACAATAATAATTTCCATAACTGTTTATGATATTTGTGTATAAAGTTATGAATATAAGTAATAAGTTAATTTTTTTTATTATCTTACTTTAGTTTTTCCTGATTTTATAACAAATATAACGTCCTAAATTTGCAAGAAGTCCAAATTTGCAAGAATTGAACAGAGACCTCTTTATTTAAAAAATCGAAGCATGTAGTTCTCTATTTATCCGCATGCAGTGCTACTGTTAAAGTATGATGTAATTAAATTTAAATTTACAAGTATTTCTAATTTTTATCTCTAATTTAGACAATTTATCATGAAGACTATATTATTTTGGTTGAAACAGATTTTTATTCTGAAAAAAGTTCATAGATTACACTACATTTTCAATACTTCCAGAGTATGAATTATGATAAGGCATTTTTTTTACATTTTACATTTTTTAACTTTTTTTTACATTTGAGATTAACCTTCAAGCGGTCGCGCGGTCATTTATACGAAAACGTATTATGCGCGGTCGATTTGACTACGCGCGCCCGCTTGAAGGTTAACGAATAAATATTAATAAATAATAATTATATATTGACTCAATAACTCATGTTCAAACTTTCGTTATTGATTCATGTTTAAATAAACTTAAAATTAAGGTCTTAATATAAAAATACAATATTTATACAATAGCATGACTACAGTTTCGGTGGCGCCACGAAATGACTATGAATTTCGATAGAACAGTCCAAAATAAGACGAAAGTGAATAATTTTTTCATATCTCACTTAGTTTTCGAGATATTGATACTTTAAATTTTGAATTTATATGGACTTATACATGGGCATAATTTTGGACTACAGAATTAGAGGGTTCTCTCCGGTGGCAGCCTTCGGCCGCACCGTTTAATGAAAAAAAATCACCCTGCAAGTACATTGTACCAAGTGCCAACAATTTTGCGAGTCAAAAAAAAATTTCGCGGCGCCACGAAAACTCTTCTATACAATTTATACAAATCAAAAAATTACACATTATTTGTGGGTAACGTGCTAGTTTCTTGATCGGCATTGCTTTGATGTCTTGATTTCATGTGACGCTCGAGATCACGCCGTCGAACAAGCACTTTACCACAAAGATCACATTTATATGGTGTTTCACCTTCAGCATGAAGTCTCACATGTTTATTTAGATTACTGGGATCACCGAATGGCCGAAGACAATACTTGCACTTCAATGGTTTGTAACCAGTGTGAGTTCTAACATGAATTTTCAATCCGTATTTTCTTGAGTAAATTTTACCACAATAAAAACAAACATGACCTTTGTTCGATTTACCTAAATTACTCACAATAGTTTCCACTTGAGCAGGATCAGCCATATCATTTCTCATTTGCGATACTAGAGTTTGTGTATGATAAACATTATGATCAACAATTGGAGGTGGGTGACTCACATATCCTGCGGCAACATAAGGTCTGAATGCTGAGCTTGCTGGCATTAAACATGGTGGAGCTTGAAGTGGCGAAATTTCAACTGATGAGTTGTGAGGTGAAATAGTTCCTGAGGTAGTAGATAAGAGCTCATTGGACGAAGTTGAAGTCGAAAAATATGTTCCCGACGGTGAATGAATGTGTGGTGATGTTCTCATCATAATAGGTTGTGCTAGATCATAATGTAATGAGTATGGTAGTGAAAGTCGAGGTAGTGGAGTCGATTTAAATGCCAATGGATCTCTTGAAACATAGTTACCTATCCTATAACCCAATTTGATAGTAGTGAGATATTCCTCGGCAAAAGTATTCCAAAGATGGCTGGCGTCTAGCTGATTACATCTTAAAGCCAGATGAATTTTCAAAGGATTTGGACTCTCGAATGAACAATTGCAGATATGACACGTGTACTTGTTTTTCCCTAGAAGAAGCAGATAGAAAAAATTTAATTTTACGAATTATCAAAATGAAATGATATTAGTAAAATGAATAATTATAAATAATATAATCATACCCTGAATGTTTGGAAGTGACAGAAAAGGCATGTTCATCATCGCAAGAATGGCTTCATTGAACCACATTAATAGAGGTTCTCCAGGCATAATAGTGCGGACTGTCTTTAAAATAATACCTTCATCTGTATTTGTTAACATCACATTATTACTTTGACAGTCTTTTGCAATAGTAACTATTCTTATCCAATAAGATGCATTTACTGCATTATCAACACAATAAAGATGGCCCTTTTCATCAGCTATCTTTGCCTGAAATATATTTATCAATAGGAAATTAAACACGTATATACATTGTATTAGCAATCAAACAAAAAAATATTTTTATCATTTGCAATCGTGACTGACAATTGAAACTCAAATATTTCAGTATTACAAATGATTATTAATTTGTTCATTCAACGGTATTAATTGAAAAAATGATTATTACTTTAAAAAAAATTACTTACACGGCGAATAACAGAGTTGCTTCTTTGTGTTAGACGAGCGACATCAATGACTTCGGTGGTTGAATCACGTTCAAGATATGTTGCAGCCCTCACACTATTCTTTTGGAAATACTTGTGACCGTAAGACATTGCAATTTCTTCTAATGGTGTACGAGTTGGTATAAACCCATCCGACATTATTGAATACAACTCAGTATTCGGTATGGCAATACCCTTGAAGATGAATTTAAAATTCACAACTAACACTCCTCGAGTTCACAGAGTTACTAAAAGTTTTTCACCCAGTTAATGTTTATCACTAACGCGATTTTTATTTTCTTCTGGATGACTACTGTTTGAAGAACAGAGTCTACTGATTTAGTTTGTACCCCGAGCGGCGCTTAAATATTCTCGGTGGACCAGACGGACCTTATTGGGGATGGCTACTTTTGGTTCCACCCCCAACCAATATTGTCTATTGCTATAGGTCTAAATTTACTAATTCTACCCCTCTCTCTTGGTATTCTCTGTCTACTCATAATTGTTGTCACCAAAAGGTACATCCCCAATCATCCCTCATTGGCAGTGATTTTTGAATCTTGGTGGGGGTCAACGTGTTGAAAAGACAAATGATTGAAGATCAGAACACGTGCTCGAGTAAGGTGTAATCATATATGTCTCACTTAAACATCTGATTAATGAAAGCTAATTTATTATTACTATCACACTATGAAACATATGACAGTCATAAATACTTCACTGGTTTCATTATTAGAAGTCACACTCAAGTATTGACTCCAAAAATGACTTATTAATTATCAATGTATTTTATATCATGTAATAAATATTTATAGATATTTCTTAAAGTTTTCTTTAAGAACTTTAAGAACATTTCATTCAAATAGTTTTTCTTCATTACTTTATTTTTCAGAGCAAGTTCTGTTCCGATTATTAAAAATACAGTATGAGGATTAATCAGCCATCAACATTATTTCTTAATTTGCAGCGTATTTCAAAATTGAAGTAACAAAAATATTAGGTTTTGTTGATAGTAATAATAATAACAATAATTTATTAAATGGTTCCATGTGGGGCTATCAGTACAAGAACCAAACGAGTGTGGTAGAAAAGGTGGTGTTAAAGGCGATGCCAAGTGTTTGATGGGGCTATAAAAGCTTCATGTGAAAGGACATTGTTTGATTCAGCTGCAAACTGATGAACGTCTCATCAAGAGCTGGGGATCTTTCTGCTAAAGGTGCATCTGAATCAACGATTGATTAACAAATTTAGTGCTTTATTCTTTCTGCACTAGGTCACTGCAAATTTTGCTGTATTTTTTGACTATCTTGATCATTATCTACTTGAGATAAAGCTGATAAATATTGTAGGTACGACATGAATGTCAAAGGTAATTTAGATAACTAATTTAATCTTTTTTTTTTTTGTTTGTCAGTCTTTAGATGGTGTTTGCTTTAGAAAAAATACCAAATACAAATATTCTATAATTATACCGACTTAGTTGATTATATTAATAAAAAGTCATCAAGGAATAGCAATTATTGCTTTTCAAGAATAAAAAAAAATAATTAACTAAATGATACTTTTCCAAGAAGCCGATAATTATAATGAAATCAACAGTAGTAAAGCAGTCATTGTTGTAAAAAAATTTTCAACCATCAGAAAAATTTCCTCAAGCATGAGTCATCCTGAGTGGTGTCAAACATCAAATGACATGAACGCTTACAAATTGCACTTAACTTCTTTTAGAAATATTTACTAGTGTTATTCACAAGTTTTGTATTTTCAAATTTCGTAAAATTAACAATCATTTGGTTCATTCATTGATGAATAGAGACGTAACTAAAGAAGTTGGAAAAAAATTTCAAGTACTTTAGTACCTAGTATTCTAGTAGTTGCATAAGGATAAGAGGGTTCATCCCTGTCAGTGTAGTTGTCATGTACCCTCCTATATAGTTTAAATATCTCCCTCTTGCATAGCCGCAAAATCAGGATGTATTCAAAGAACACACTATAAACCACGACCCAGTAAGGGAGCAAGTGTTCTGCCGTGACCAATGCAAGTCTGCACGCATGTGCGCGCTTCCCAATGCGATATTAATATCACGATTATCATCTACGTATTATCGCTAAGAACCCCTCGCTTAAGTTGCTATCGTAATAACTTGGATGTCATTTTCTATTATTTTATATTTCTACTATTTTTTATATTAAATAAAATAATTATTCTATAAAAAAAAATTTGAAAACAACTTTATCATCATAACAAGTCCAATGACTTATAATTATTGAGGTTATTGGCACATTGAATAAAAAATAATAGTATAAATAAAAAAATGTTTTGACTGAAAATGGTGGATTCATTAAAATTTCCACCATTCTTTCCAACCGAGACGAATTTCATTGTTCAATGGTTACCCTTGTTTTACAGATTGTGCTTTTTGATGCATTGACATCATGTATGATCACCGCAATGGGATGACTGAGATATGGTCAGGTCTTGTGGGGGGTGATGTGTGTATGGTTGAAACATAAAAATAATTCGTCGCGGTTTTGCAAGTGTCAAAAGCTTCCGCCTAATGGTTTTTATCCTGTTCATTCATCTCATAAATTATTAATTTATATCTACACATGAAAATGTCATTTCTATCCTATTTCCTTTGTACTTATTGATATCTTTAATATATTATATCCACATTACTCTTATTTTTTCATAAAATCAATCAAATTTGATGGTAAAAATATTTTTTAACACCAGAAAAAAATATAGAGAAACTTGACTTGATTTTATAAACAGTAAATATTAGACCATGGTTTAAGATGTAAGCCACTTGTATGGTCACGTGTCTTAACACATTGTCTGTGTCTCACATGAATATAGTTGTAACATGGCACGTGACTACTCGACTTCGAAATTATTCTCATTTTTCATCTCTACCGATTATGCTTGGCCATTAAAATCTATTTACACTATTCTAAAGATCTTGATCATTTTTATGTCCTCATTTAGAGTACCATTAAATTGCAATTTTACTCCATTGAAATATTTATAAGAATATTCATAATTAACTCCATGATTTATAGAGAATTTTGAGCATTTAGAAAATTATTTAGTAAAATATGTCCATCGTTTATTATCAAATAATTCAATCAAAAAGTTGAAGACCAATGACAAAATAATTTATTTAGAAATCATAAAAACACAAACATTAACATATTTGATATCATAAGAAAAAAAAAATCATTTAAAGCAGGTGCCACGGGTCACATGACAAAATAATATGGGTTCCCTTTTTATAATATAGCTGCTGTACCAATTCCAGATCAGCCCCATCAAGTAACTCTGGTAGTGTTCCCCTATTAAAATACGTCTCACTTGGCACACAAGTATTGCATGCATGCATCAACGGGATGTACAACCCTACAGGCTAATTTAATCCAATACAATATGTCCCTCTCGCTTAGAACCTTGTCTTTCACTATTTTGACCCCCTTATAAGTTCGTGTGGCTGTAAGGGGCGCTTTAAAAAAGGTGGGTGGCTTTTTTAAACTGCGCTAACTTCAATTCCCCGTGAAACCTCATCCTATTATGATATGTCTAATCCTGATTGCATTAGACAGGTTTGTCTCTGTGGTTTTATTTTTATTTTCTATCTGTTCATTACTGTAAATAATTAATTAATTAATTATAATAAAAAATAGTTAGACATTATCAAAGATTAGTTAGTATACATTTATTTAACATTTGATATTTTTTTCTGAACGCATAAATAAGAATTGGTGGGAAAATAATGATGGATGTCGAAGTAGAAAAAGCCATCAGCAGAGCAGAAATACCTTAAGTCAACTTTAATGTGTTTCAAGGGAAATTAGCATCAATGGCTTTCGGTGAGACGTGGAAAATTTTGGCGTCAAAAACGAGACACTGACGCCAAGATGTCATCGATGATGGCTATTAAGAACAATAAAAGTAATATCCGACCTAACTAGTTACTCGACATAGGGGCAAAGACAGGCGATTACTGGTAAAGGGACTTTAGCTCTTCAATTGAACTCAGACGGTATACGACCTTCTGAACACAGGTTCATCCCAAGATAGGTATCACTAGTTTAGCTTTATGAAACATCATTTTCCTCGAACCAGGGAAATCCTATTAGTGTTAAGTTAGCTTGTGAATACCTCTGGTCAATATAAAATAATTATATTCATAAGCAATTAGGAGTGCGATGCACTGACTTGATAAGCTAGATCAGGTATGAAAGTTTGTCAAGTTTCTAAAGTAACAGGAGCGTGAATGCAAGCGTTATGATCATAAATAGTATTGAGATAGTATTCAGATAAATAAAATAAGGCATTTTTATGTCAATAATATTTTATTACATAAATCTCAACGACAGACTCATGCCACTGTCCATAATTCTAAAAAAAAATGTTGACAAATATTTTAAATAAAAAATATCAGTCTTCTATATATAAGTTGTTTGTTTAATTTTAAATAAAGATGGTATAATTACAAAAATTAACTTGAAAAATAATAATAAAATTCACCAAGAAAATGATTTTGCAGTTTCTGACTTTAACAATGTCTATTCTACTTTTTGAACTGATTATTTCAGAAAAATTTTTAATGAGCACCTATGAATCATATTTAATGTTAATATATGACTAAAGTTCTTTTACTTAGATCACTTTGAAGTATTTTCGAGAATTACTAATTTCATAACTACTTAACTGTGCATAATTTAACATCGTTTTTAATGACATTGACGATGAAAATTTAGATAATCTTTTGTATACGAAGAAAAAAGATTATATTGAATGTTTGAGATGTATTTCTCATTTGGAGTAGAAAAAAATATGAAAATAATTTAGTACAATTAATATATGTAAGAAATATTTTAATTATAAATACACTTGTTGACTAACTCATTCATTTATCATTTATTATTAAAACAAATTCATTTATATATTGAATATTTTTTTTTATATAGTATAAACAGATCAACTACTCACACTCTGACATCAAAAATTATTGCAAATAAAATTCAAAAAAAATTTCCTTCTCTGATACGTCATTGATTTGTTAAACAAGGCACATTATTATGACGGATTAAATCACCAAAAATCAATGATTGATTTTTAATAGTTGCAGGTTTGTGATTGGAATGTTTGTCGTGGGGATATAACATATTCGAGGTTTTTCGGTGGTGTCGAGCTTGATTACGAGAGTCAGGGGAATAAAGACAGGAGAGATGGATTTGTTTTGCAGCTGTGTACACCGGCACTAATGTAGTAGAAGGTGGATAGATGAATTAGGGAGGCTATCGACGATATTGCTGGTTGAGATATTTTTTCGAATAATATTCCACCATATAGATAACAAAACTTTGTTAACATGCACCATAGCCGAGTGATTTTGAATTATGGACTGTCAATCACTAACTAAACTTGATATTTCAATAAAAATATTGGACATAGATATTTATTATTGGAAGGAATTTGAATTATCAACTATCAATGACTTGTAATTAATAAAATTACTATCTTTTCTCTTGATGCCATCGATTTCTTCTATTTCAGTATCATTTTCATCTGTTTGAATATTTGATGATGAGTGGTAGTCTTCACCTTGTTTTTGATACATTTCTGCTCGTTTCTCCAAAATTTCTTTGATTATTTCTGTAAAAATTAGACATAGTTGATATTTCCATATTAAAAAATATAGTATAATTATTTTTCTTGCATAATATAATATATTTTGTATTTAAAAAAAATTGCATTCTTATTTAATATTTTGAATACTGTTACGCCTCTGTTATATACCATTTATGACGGTAGATGATTTATTGTAAACTAAATGTTCAAGAAAGGTACAGAAGCATAAATATTGGCATCCGATACAAAGATTGGATAATCATCTCAGACGCCAAGACAAATCTGGCGCCAGACAGGACGGTCATCAGACCAACCATTTACAATGCTATTACCTACTTGTGAAATATAATTCAAACGTCACTTTAAGACTTTTGACGTATTGAAATTTTACTCACAATTTACAATGTGAGTATACAAGTTAACACCCTAAATGACATCATTAAAGAGAATAGATTTAGTAAAGTTATTAAGACAGTGTTTTCACACAATTGTTTGAATAGAAGAAATTTATCTAAGATCTGATGTTCAACAAATGAATTCACGATAGAGCACATACTTCTTTTCATCTGTATTCTGCAATGGCGATTTATCTACGGCTTACCTTCTAATAGCTGTCTACTGTCGACTACTGTATTCACTTCTTTCTTGACTTCTTGGACAAGCCAAGGAATAAACCCTTCTTCAACATCACTTTTAATCTCATCCAACAAAAACCCAGATAACTTTAAATCTTCCAGTACACTGGGTAAAATTTCTGCTACGTAACCCGTTAAAAGTACAGCCGCAGCTACACGGTCTTCAGTTTCTTGATGAATTAATAATTCTTCTCTACGTTGTTTATCTCGTTGTTCCTAAAAAATATTTAATCAATAAAAATATTCCTATTTTACAATGTTTCTAATTAATGAAATATATAATAAAATAAATCTATACTTTTTCTTTTTGAAGTCTTCTTTCTTTTTCTTCTAATCTCAATTGTTCTGCCTTCTCAGCCGCTCTTAGTTCACGGAATCTTCGTTGCTGTTCTCTAAGAGCTGCGAGTTCTTCTTCTTCTAAAACTTCGATGAAAGCTTGTTCTATTGTTTTTCCAACGAGCACTTCAAGAATCGGTTGGACTTCAACATCGAAGTCAAACAGCTAAAAGAAATAACATTTTAATAAATAATATTTCAGCAAAATGCTTCTTAATTAATATTGAAGCTTGACTTACATCACCTGGTGCAATTTGAGTTCCAGCATCAACGCCTGTTTTACTGGGACAAAACGTTGGTGTAGACGGTCTGTCTAGAAAATAATCAGTTTGTGTTCCTACCTCAGACTCTTGGGGTTTTTCAAGTAACTAAAAAATATTTCAATGAAATATTAATTGAATAATGAAAACTTTTTAAATTATTTTCTTTTAAAATTATTAATTAAAAACCTCTTCTAGGTACAACTCAGTTTGTACGGGTTCATGTTTTCTTCCTGGAACTGGTGGTGGAGAAGACATTCTCATCATCATTGACCTAGTGGATTGAAGTTTTTTTTTAGCTAATTGTTTTCTCCTCATTTCAATATGTCGAGCTGTGTGTGATTGTTCATATTCTGCCTGTAAATATATTATTTTGAATTTTAGCTGATTTGATATGTTAGAAGAGCAAACGTATCTGATTGATTAGCACTTACCATATTTGTAGCTGTAACAAGAGTACTCCCACGTACAACTCTTCTATCAAACATAATATTTGCAAAGGGAAGTGGGTGATCGCTGCAATGCAGAAAATTATTATTATTACTAAGTTGATTTTTAAGAATATTATAGCCAAGTTATCAATGTGATTTAATCACTTGAGGTCGTGTATCTCAGTATCATAATTTATGCGAAACGCAAGGAATAGCTCTGTATAATTTCTTGGTACAGGCATCGACAAACATTCCGGTCTCACGCGACTGAAGGAAAAATTTTCATTTTGAATTAATTTTCCAGTCTAATTTGCCATATTGTATGATTCATTTTAAAAAAAGAATATTTCAGTAACATTGGTTGAGAAATGAATGACGATACCTTTATTTTGATAAATAAATTAAAATATAATTTTAAAATTACTCAGCTTATAAAGAATAATTAAATTCATTTTCGCACTATTAAATAATTTCCAAGCAAAGCAAATGTTGAAATGAATTTTTCATTTCAAACTTTTAGCAAATATTTTTAATTTATCGCTCAGTGAAGAATGATGTTGATGTAATATTTATTATCAAATTGATAATAATGGTGATGATAATAAAATATTAATAACACAATTTACTTTCAGATGGAATCGATTGTGCTATTTATTTTTTTAAGCAGCCAAAAATTGTTGAGCTAATGGATAAAAATTCAGTTCTAATAATAACGTGAGTGAAATAAAAAAAATCTACTATTACTATTTATAAAATAAATGAAATGATACACTGGATTGGTTAATTGTTACCCAGGATTTAAAGTGATGTGCATTGAGGTTTTTAATGGCTTCAGCTTTTTTGGTAATGCTTCTGGTTTCTGATGAATCTCACTGAAAGAACAATCGTTCCTTCTTTTCATGTAGAGGTATAAAATTGATTTTTCATTGATGAATTCATAGACAATAATCGAGAAATAACCTTAAATATAATCAATACGAAAAGGTATGATTTTAGTACAATAACTTACATTTCATGATTAGTAAGTTTGTTGCAAAATGTTCGTCGAAGGCGTTCTTCATTCGCCAAGGTCGATGCTGTGACGGCTGGAGAATTTACAACATTAACAGCAAAGTCAACCGTTGCTTTGAGAGCCGTAGGGCACCTGGCATTGTGACTGTTGTGACGTACTTCCGGTCGTCGATTAAGAGAAACTAACGGCCGGAATTTAGAACGCGGAATACCCTCGTGAACGTCTTCGGGGTCGTAGCCAATCCAATCACCGTTTGGTGCCATCCCAAGAAGTGCTGCAATCTCTGGTGGAGGCATTAAGAATTCACCGCTCTTGACTGTTGTAATGAATGGTTTTTTTTGAAATGATAATTTTTTTTTACTGTACATTTTTGTTGGATCTTTTTTTTCATTTTCTTGAACATCTTTTAATTTTGCTGTTAAAACTTGATTGAAATTTTCTGTTGATAAATTGATAGGTAATTTATTAGCTGAATCTCCGCGTGATTTTTTTTCATCTTCCAAACGTTCGTGACTTTTACTGTATTGTTTCTTCTTCAATGGATTTATCTGATGGTTTTGCAGACTAGCAAGTACTAGATGATCATTTGACTTGCTAATACGTTTATGTGAGAATAATGTATTTTTTTCATTCTTAACTTGTATTAAATTTTTATTATTTTTTACATTATTATTATCATTTTCTTCGTTAATATGATTGATATGAAGAATTGGTAGAGACGTTTCATGGTGATCTCGTTGTATAATAGTAAATGCAGGTGAGTTTTTATAATCATAATTAAAGGAGGACGGAGGAAGACTTGAGATTCCAGCCGGCATTTTAGATTATTTCAAATATTTCCTTTTTTTTCAGTAATTTTTAAATTCAATTTTTTTTCTGCCTAGTTTATAACTCCTCAAGTTCCTTTAAAAAAATATATTCCATGCTAACTCAAAATCTATCAATAAAATCTTAATTATTTTACATTTAGAATATATTGAGCGTGCTCGACATAGAAAAGAAAAGTGTAACAAAGTTGATAAAAATCACCAACACGAAAGACTGATTTTAGAGTTTTTTTTTTCTTATTATTATTATTCATGCATGAAAAATAGTTGCTGTGAAACATTGGTAGTCTCATGTCTGTTTGAATTTGTGTAAATGTATTAAAGTATTTGTGTGAAATTAGAATTAAAGCTATTCATTTATATCGTCGTTTAGTAACATAACTATTTCCCTTTATTGTTTTCAAATTTATTACATATTCGCATAAATATCAAATTAAAACTAATAATATTCATATTAATTTATAAATATAATTCTTGACTGAATTGAACATGAACTTTATCGCTATTCGACACTTCTTCATTATTTCAAATACTTATTTGCAAATATATACATTATCGATAAAAAATACATCAAATTTACTTATTAAATGTTAATGTTATGTACAACATTGTATTAATGATAATAAACCTTTGATCACGATATGTATGTAATCAATAACAAATCAAAGATGAATGAATTCGATGAAGACTAGATCAAAGGTCTATAATTGAACAAGTGATATGTGCTTAATGAAATCTAATTTAAAAATGATAAATAAAATAGTCTATTAAATAAACATCATTTAACAAAATAATAATTTTTATTTTGATAATGAAAAAGCCAAACAGTTGATGATAAATAATAAACATCAAAATTAAATTGTACATACTTAAATAAAGCATAAAGAATTTACATATAAATACTAATGATTTTTTTTTTCATTTAATTACAGTGTATACAATAAACTCTTAAATAATACAGCCACACATAATATAAAATTAAGCAATAAATAATTTTAAAAAAGTGCATAATTATAATAAATTATGAGAAAATTTATAATACCAACAATCACGTAAAAATTTGTTTCCATCAAGACTCGCGGTAGAACTAAATTCACACAAGGGTAAAAAATTTTCTCAAGTGGACATCGTCCAAGCATCGGTTCAATATAGACTACGCAACGAACATAGACATCTAACCCTCCTCTCACTACATTCTGTACGTGATGTATGTATATATATGGATATTTTATTTTATATATATACATACATACAATCTGGACATTCAATACCACTGACCGTTTCATACTCGCGCATGCTCTTACTTTAAATTCCAAATGACCACCACACATATGAACACCGTTAATACTCAACGTGTATATATTTTATCATGTAGACGTTGTATTTCAATACAGACGAGTACAAGTCGTCGTAGATGCGGAGTTAGTAAAGAATTTTCTGATTGTTAACGCCCTTGGCATTTTTTCAAGGTGAAGGGTTCTCCAATGACACATACTATGCTCTGATACTAATTGTTTACTTCTGTCAAGAACTTTTGACTTCCTGTATTTTTTTTTATCAACTATCTCATGCAGGAATATAAACTGTAAATTTTCTTGTGAACCAGACAATTATTGATATCAATTAATGAATACTATTTCTTCTAAATAACAAGAGTCTTTTAGACTTTAGAATCAGTACAAATGGCTTTCAAGTGTGAATAATGGTTAGACTTACAAAAATTCATCGAAAATCATTATTCATCAAGTAAAAATAATTAAGATTTTTTGTAATGTTTCTATTCCTTTGTTTGTTAGATGAAATATTGTGATTTTATAATCTGTACACTGAATTATCCTAGTACTGTATCTGTCTCGTAACTCTTCATTTCTAATTGTAAATAATTGAATGATACAACCACATTTATACTAATATATCTATAAGTTGACTCTTGATACGATCACCAGAGCGGTCATTTCCTCCAGTATCTAAGCACATTAGATATAGTACTGAGATTATAACCCTGTATGATTAGAGCTAACTTTGCATTGTCGATGTCTAAATATATTTATTGATTTTTATTGATTTTAGTGATATATTGAAGTTGTTAGAAATTATAAACTCATTTTAACTAGTCAGTGCACGGTATATTTAAGAAAAAAGAAAGTAATATTTAATGGCATTGATTACTTAATATGTCATTAATTATCAATTAATAGTACCTTGTTATTGAATAGCAATCAACATTGAAATATAAAACATGCTGATAATTTGAAATCATTAGGTTGTTTTGAATTTCTTTAATGAAATAACTACCACGACCTTAAGTCATTAAATAAAACTATTATTTAATGAGACAATTAATTAATCAAATTTCTTACACAGCTGGTGGAGTCCGATATTTTTTTTTGGTATGAAAAACTGCCCGTGGACTTTCAACAAATGTATAAGTCTCCTTCATCGTTGAATTAGAACTTGGTATATTGTAAAATTGTAGTCCTCGGTTACACATTCTGCACTCTTGACATGTTTTCGATGCCATTTTTATTTAATTCAATCCAGTGGCTCATCAACTATGTAAAATTCACAATCAAAAGAAGTCAGTTTATTTGAAAAAATTTGAAACTTTTTATATTATTGAGAAAATGAATAGAATTGTTTATTTATTCTTAGCTACGAATAATTTATGCTAAATTAATAGGCTGTTAAAATTTAAAAATCATTTGTAGTATTATTTATCGATAAAATTTAAGTTATAAATTGCAAATAATAAATTAAATCAATACTTTACTTTGAATGTAGCTGCTGCAAAGTTTCATTTCGTTTATCAGTCAACTTCCTCGTTGCTATAGAAACAGAGTATGGAAAATTGTCTTGGCGTATCACTATTTTGATGAGTAAATAGTATTTGATATGAAATTATCTTAAAACATTTAAAATCAAATTATTCTTCTGTTATTTACATTAAAATTAACTAAAATACTTAGTTCGATAAACAATGACAAAAACATTAATTTTTTTAAAAATAAAAATTTAATTGATAATATAAATTAAAAGTATCTGAATAATAAAATTGCAAAAAATCCTAATTATATCGGTATAATTTAGGAAATATGAGTTAAAATAATTATAAAGATTTTTTTAATAAGTAATATCAGTTAGAAATACAGTATGAAAAAGATATCAATTTGAATTTATCATAATTGGCGCCACTAGTATCGTGAATGGTACAGTAGCCAATCAAAGAATTAACTTGAAATTCAAGTGTGTTTGATTGGAGTAGAAACAGTTTCCTGTTCAAGAAGTAATCTCATATGATGTAGTGGGGATCATCTATCACCAATGAGAAACAGTGATTGGATGAAAGTAAACGAAGTGTCAAGTTGCAGAAAATCTACCCGTAGAGCGCGGTTCAGCTGTGCTTTAGAGAAATTATAGAAGCGTCCGTCTAGTAGCGCTCTGTGCATCGTGTATATTTCTTGTGTTTTTTACAACAATATAATTGCAATAATAGATTGCTACTTAGAAATAAAGAAAAAAGTTATTTCGAAAGTGCAGTGATTGTTGTAAAGTAAATAGGTCTCTGCAATGTAATGAATGGAGATTATAAAGATAATTAATTAGTGAGGAATTTGCCATTAAAAATGACGAAAATTCGATTTATGAGAGACCTGTGGTAGAGTGAGAAAGTACAAGTAGCAAGTGGACGCTAAATGAGTGAGATAGATAGACATGTGTCGGTGGATGAATTACTACCATTTGCTTAATAGCTAATAGACTCAAAATTAGTGCTGTGCCTATGTGATTTGTTCACAATGGCTATATTTTCAAGTACAACGGTATATGTACTTCTCCTTGGCTTATTAGGTACAATAAATGGTATCGATAATTTTCAAATACATCACATTTATTATTGTAGTAGTCAAGTAGTTACAAAAAAATCGACCTTCTCATTCCAATGAGAATTTTTTATCATTTTCAACTGAATAAATTCACCGAGAGACTTTAGCTATGGTTTACTTTGCGATTTTTAAGGCCTGTTGAATTTAGTTTGCTTCTACATTATTGGAGGAGAATCGCAAAGTAACACATTTATTGCTATGGCTGAGTGTGTGTTGATATTGTAAATAAATGATTACTCTTTCTTCAGAACATTTCTGTATCTATGTCTTGATCTTTGTTACTCATTGATTATCCAATGTTTACATTAAGTTATGTATCAACACACTCATATATTATTTTATTTGTAAACTCCAATTTTCATTGTTTCATAATTTATCTACAATATTTATTATTTTTTAATGCTATTATGAATTTTTTATGTCATTTAGGTCTATCCGGAGCCACTTTAGGTCATGATATTAAAGGTTCTAGACAATGTGAATTTTACAACGAAACAACGTGTACAGATCCACAGCAAAAATGTCCAGAAATAGAAGTATGTTCTCCACCTGAACCAGATAAAAGGAACCATTGTTACGTTCTATGGCAGATAGATCCAGTAACTAAAAAATCAACTGTTAAACTAAAGGTATTTTCTTTTAATAAAATTTCAGGAATTCTATAAAAAATGACTAGTAAATTTGAAATAAATCATGAGGTTCTATTTATATTTTCTAGGGCTGCTTTCTAGACAGTCGAGAATGCTACGATAAAGCATGCTGTGTTGAAAGAAATAGTGATCGTAAGGGTCAATTATTTTTCTGCTGCTGTGATGGAGATATGTGCAATCAGAATTTTACGTGGGATCCACAACCAACGGAGCCACCAACTCAAGATCATGGTAATTTTTTATGACAAAATTGAAATCATTCTAAATTAAGAATATCTTAATATTTATGATTTTTGTTTATTTCAGAGTTTAAACCTGTTCCAAATACGGAACAACAAATAATTACTTTAGTGATATCAATATCAGTACCGATGTTGTTCATATTAGTTGTTTTTACGTCATTAATATGGTGCTATAAGCGAAGAAAGCTTGGTTATTTCAATGAGGTAAATATTTTGGAGTAATAAACTATCATCATTAAAATATGATACAATAAAAAAAAGTTCTATTATTAATATTGTTATTCCAACAGGTACCAACACTTGAACCTCTTCCATTGCCACAACCTTCGCCTAATTTGGGGTTACGTCCAATTCAACTGCTTGAAATAAAAGCGCGCGGTCGCTTTGGAGCAGTATGGAAAGCTCAACTGAAAAATGAAATTGTTGCAGTTAAAGTTTTTCCTATACAAGATAAACAATCTTGGCAAACAGAACAAGAAATTTTTAAATTAGCTCACATGGATCATGAAGATATATTACGATTTATCGGTGTTGAGAAAAGAGGAGACAATCTTCAGACAGAATTTTGGTTGATAACTGCTTATCATGAAAAAGGATCATTGTGTGATTATCTAAAGGCAAATGTTGTTACGTGGCCAGAAATGTGTAGAATTGCAGAGTCAATGGCTCGCGGTTTGATGCATTTGCATGAAGAAATTCCAGCAAATAAAGCGGATGGCTATAAACCAGCCGTTGCACATCGAGATTTTAAATCGAAGAATGTTCTACTTAAAGCTGATATGAGTGCATGTATAGCAGACTTTGGACTTGCATTGATATTTCATCCTGGAAAACCTTGTGGTGATACTCATGGACAGGTAAAATATTTATTTACGATTATTGTATGTTTAAAGATATCTATAGATTACCTGGAATATTATTCTCATTTAACAGGTTGGTACTCGAAGATATATGGCACCAGAAGTATTAGAGGGTGCGATAAACTTCACGCGAGACTCATTCTTACGCATTGATATGTACGCATGTGGTCTAGTACTTTGGGAATTGGCGTCACGATGTACAGTACAAGACGTAAGTTATTTAATACATTTTTAAAATTTTCTTGGATATAAATTATTAATTTTATTAAACATTAATTCGTTGATTATCTTAGGGACCAATTGGAGAGTATAGATTACCTTTCGAAGAGGAAGTAGGTCTTCATCCAACATTAGAAGACATGCAAGAAAGTGTTGTTCACAAAAAGGAACGTCCAATTATTCTAGAAACATGGCGAAAACATCCGGTAATCAATAATTTATTGATTCTAAATTTTCATGAATTAATTATTTTAAAGAACGTTATTTTAAAATTAAACTATATTTTTCTATAGGGTCTTTTATCGATTTGTGATACGATGGAAGAATGTTGGGATCATGATGCTGAAGCAAGACTATCAGCATCTTGTGTAATGGAACGAATTACAACTCTAAATAGATGTCTCGTAATCAATTCGTCAACTTTGATTCGCGTCGACAACACAAATGAATCTATCACCACCAAGGAATCTAGTATGTAGTTAATTTGAATGTATCATATTTTTACTCAAATCGCACATTCGTTTCCTGTATCATATTTTATATATACAGATATATCCACAGGGAATGCTGACGTTACAAACATATAAAATTATTTTATAATTATGTTTTTTTTTTTCTTACTTTTAACAATTTTTCATCTATTTTTTTAACGATTGTTACTAAGTACTTTTGGTTTTAACATACCGTAATTAAATAGAAAAAAAATATCGTTATTAGTTCTCGAAAAAGATAAATGTTTTATTTTATATGTTAAATCAAGTAAAAGCATCACAAATAAGATACATAATTGATGCACATTAGTAATTACCTACAGCTCATTTGTATGTATAATTAGATTAATAAATAAGTCAATCGTTGTAAATAACATGTGAATGAACTTCTGCAGGGTTTGATTAGTAAGTTGTAGGTAAAGTGAATGGCAAATTCGTGTCGCAATAAATCAGCGTTCCCTGTTATTGCCAATAATTGATCAAGTATTTAGGGATTACGATTCTAATTATAAATTAGGCCGAATAAACCCAATTTTAACAATGTATGTATCCATAAAAAGAGCTATACATACAATAATATGAAAAAATCGTGTATATTAAAATGTGGATGCAGTATAACAACCGTAATACGATGTACCTGGTAGACACAATCGTGTTAACCGATTGATAGCCACGAGGAATTAAAAATAGAAATTCGACTTGTAAAAACAATATTTATTAATTGTGTTTTTTGCTTTGTGTTTCAATACTTGGTAATATTACTTAGCTTTTAAAGCTTTATCAATAGTTTAATCCATTATTAGCGCTATAAAAAAAATTGAATTTTTTTTTATTTTAGTCATTAAAAGAGTTTTTAATTTTGCATCGAATTTTTAGATCGGCACTTGATTGCATGAACCATATGAAGCCACGGAAACGTAATTTATTGTACAGAGATTTCACCATGGAAGATTTTACTAAGAAAATAAGGAATATTGTTAATTTATCAATTAATAATATGAACAATTATATTGATAAATTAATAATACGATTTATTTAAATAATTATTTGCAATATAAAATTTACATTGAATAAACCACATGTCTACCCAGTATCATGATGTTATTAACAGTGTTTTTTTATAAATATTTTTTATCTTAAAAACTCCAATATTGTAAAAAAAAAAAATCCCAATATTTCAAATTAAATTATTTATAATAATTAATTCGAGAAACATTTAATTGTCATTGATATTGGGTTATGACTGTGCCAAATAATAATACTAATATATGCATATGCCACAAATTTATTTGTTCTGCTATTTACATATTCATTAATCCTAAGATAGAATTAATGCTAGATCTGATATAATATTCAAATAATTTCAATGTTTAAAATATCAAATAATTAAGTGTTGGTAAGATTTAGTTGCAAAATGATGTGAATTTGAGCTACTTGACATATCGGACAGTGAAAATAAGTGATTAATTATTAATTAATTACATGAAAGAAATAAGTACTATTACTATTATTTAAGCCATCGATTAATGGTATTATCAGCTGGAAATTTTGACGTAATTACTTTTTATAATGTAAATATAAAACACTGTTCTTGAAAAACTGACTGTTGAAGAACTGTACAATGTCCTATTTGTTCCTATTACATTTTTTATATCTCAGCAATCTTCATCTTGCTTTTTTTGCCCACATCTGTATGGCATAATGAAGTAGAAAATTTTTTTATCGTTTGGTGAACAACGAAGCGTTTATAAAGAACTAGTTTCTCGGAATATTTTTAAAAAAATTTATATATTCATTATTTTTATTACTTTTGTAATGTGTATAAACTATTTTTATTTAAAAAAAAAAAATTTTGTATTGGTATAATTACTCAGCCAAATTTCATATTAATACAAACAAAAAAAAATTATTTAAAAATTTTTTTATTTTTCAATTAATGAATAAAAATAATTATGATTAATTTTTCACTTATTATTGCTATTCAATGAATATCAATAAATAGATAATTGTCTTTAACATAATTTAATGAGCTTTTTTAATTTCGTTCTCAGGATTCTGTTTTAATTAAAGTATATCTGTCATCCCAGGGTATAATATTTGTTTATTATTCAGTTATTTTTTGTAATACTTATTTTACATTGTGATGACAGAGACTGAATGGACAATAAATTTGTCCACAATTTTTTACAACATTTATCGTCAGTGATAATATAAATATACTTTTCCTATATCGTTAAAATAGCTGTTCGAGTTATTATTATTCGTAAAATATGTTTTACTACGATTATATTATCTATATCAATGGATAAAATAATAGAAAAAATTATGAATTATGTTGGATCAGCCGCGTACAGATTTTATAAGAAGAAATTGCATTCTGCGTCAGTTTTTAATCGAATTCAAATGTAAATATTATTAAATAATGATAAATATATTGTAATAAAAATTTAGGAGATTTAAGACTATAAAAATAGCTTATTATTTATCATCGATAGGTATCGATTACATTGGGAAATAGTATGTTTCTACTACAATTGTACTCGTCAAGTTAATAAAAGAACTTGCTAACAAATTGATTGTAATGTTAAGATGAATAAAAAATAAGATAAATAAGGTTATTGTACTTTATTTTTGACGAGAATAATCATTTTTCATAATAATTATTATATCGTTTTGCAATAAAATTGAATAAACATAATCATTGTATATTTATGTAAGAAATAAATGTGCTTGTTGAATCGCTAAAGTGTGAACATTTTATTATAAATGAAAACACAATGAATTCATAAATATGGTCATTTTATTTATGTAAATGTATACATACGTATGTGTTTCTTTAATACGAGCGAGATAATAAAATTGAAACGAGGCCAATTCTTTTAGTGTTTCTTGTGTATTATACATAATCATCTTGCGCTTAAAGATTTATTTTATAAATAATCATAGTAATTTTCTGTGAGTATCTATATAATATCTTTCTAATTAGATATGCATAAATCACAAAATAAAATAGTATGTATGATATTTATGTAAAATAATAAATTGTTTAACGTTCTCATCGTCAATATTTTAAAAACATATGTTCATATTTATTTAAATGTCAAAACATTTAATTTATATTTTGAATTTATTTTAAAATTATTATTAACTTTCTGGTAATAACGAGACATTTATACTTTTTCTAGCAAAGCCATCAAGATTAACATTCGCACATCAATTGAAATTTATACTTTTTTCATAATTTTTTCCCTTTGTTTTATTATTTCAAATTATATATATATATATTTATATTATCAAATTTTATTATTGCACCTCAACTTATCAAATTGCTCCCCAACTGTACAATTATTCAAAAATGTACTAATAATCTTAAAACTTAAAGATACGACTCTGATGAATACAAGAAGCATGTAAAAAAGTCGATTAAAAAATCACATAAGCGCAAGTTAGCATTCTTAATTTATATGCATATTCATTTACTAAAGCTTTGGAAAATCCTTTTTGCGCGTACGACATAATTGTTCAAATTAATCGTTACATTATACAAAAACAAAAAGTTTACATTAACAATCTTCAAAAATAAACCAATACAAGTATAACAAAAATTATCATCCGATAGACTCATTTGCCTATTACTATGATCACAGTTACATTTATGATAATATATAAGTTATTATAACTATTCAATTGTTAATTTAATGTTAGTTATCGTCATCATAATGTATATATATGTACAAGGATATAAATAACTATGTTTTAGATAATTAAATACAATCTGGTTACAAGATTCTATGACTAGCAATCATTATTTTAATTTCTATTTTTTTAACTGATGAAAGTACCTAATTTAATGATTCTGTAAATAACCAAATACCAATTAGTTTTTGAAATTATAAACATCAATCTCTTTTGTTTGTTCATAAACATTTAACAATTTTAGTCTTCAGTTTTAAATACACTGTACATTGAAAATCCAAACATGTTCTTAACTTTAAAATTCATTGATGATACCACTTGCACGAATGCCCTTCAAGCTTACTAACTGAGAGTTTCAAACATTTCGTTTGAATTTTATTGTTAGTTTGGATTTCATTGCTGATCGTTATTCGTAAAAAACTGTATGTTAAGTTGGACATATATGCACGCAAGATCTTGGAACTAAACCCTTTCGATCACCTTTCGCACACAATAGCCATTTGTTATCAACTTCCAAGATAACTTTTAGTCTGTCACCTTCGTTAAATGATAGGTGACCATTATCCGATGGAAGCCTGTGAGTAAGCGTACGAACTTCTCTGTAAATAAAAGGGAAATATTTATCAAAAAGTGAATAAATCAAATGTAAATAATATATATTTTTTTAATGTATGCCTGTATCTGTGCTTTGATAATAAATTCCTTACTTAGGTGGACGTTTTAGTTGAATGTTTGCCTTAGATGCAGCAGGAGTATTTGGCCTTGGTAAAGATGTTGAAACAGCACGTCTTTGTGGCGACACCAGATTTTTTTCTTTGGCTGTGACTCCGTGTGATTTATACGGCAAAGAACTTGGACGTGTCAAGTGATTTCTTGGCGTCATATTATGATCTTGATCAACTCTACTTGTACGTTTACACACATCTTTACTCTTTAAATCTAAAGTTTTTTTTTGTGTTACTTTATTCATAATTGTTGAAGGTGGTTTTTTTAGACTAGGAATTCCGGTATTTGGAGATTTAGTTTTTGCTGTCATTGTTAATGTATTTGCTGATTGTTTAACAGGAGAAGTTAAAAGTCTGGGAATTTTAGATTTTGTTATGTTAGTTGGAGTTTTATTTGGCGAAGATGGTGAAGTTAGAGTAGTTTCTTTTGGTTCTTCTTTTCCAGTCATTAATTCCCATTTTTCTTGAAGTCTTCTAAATTTTATATCAGCACTAATCGTATCGTCATTGTTATCAGTATCATTATTGTTATTTCGAACATCAGGACTTGATATCCTTGTAATATTTTTTCTAGCTCGATTTAATGGAGAATGTTCTAAACTATCTGTATACTCTTCGGAATCTTCTGAAACCAATTTATCCAATACAGGAAATGCTTTTGATCCCATAGCAAGATTACTCCATCGTTTCTTCAATATGTTATCATTATTTTCAATTTTTGTTGATGTATTTTTATCTTCGAATGATCCACAAGAACGAGGACGTGTTCTTCTGGGACTAGGAATTGTTGAAAGATCATTTTTAAACTCATGCTCTCTATTATCAGTTGACACAAAGCTATTAACGTGACTAAAACTATTATGGAGTTGTCGATATTGATATAAAAGATCTAATTGGAATGGACAAAAAGCGAGAGGATCTAAAGTATTAAGAAAATGATCAATAATTTTGCGAGAATTAGCACAACCAAGAGCTGCAACAAATAAACTATTGCTGCTGTAATGTTTACGTAAAATTGTTTCTCTAGTACATAAATACGCAAACCATGCATCTAACGCTCGTAAATTTAATAATCCAAATATAAATGCATGAAATTTCAACATTCCTTCTGTAATAAAATCTTCGCCATTAATTTTTTGAACCAGTTCATTTAATGTCTTTGTTAGAGGGCCTTGTTGTGATGAAGCTTCCACTATTTGCCATACACTGTTTGAAATAGGACCGAAAATTGAATTTAGATGTGGTCTCAAACCATCTGACATGATTGCATAAAGAGCTGGACAAAGATTTTTTAAACAGATCTGTGCACACTCGTTTTTATCTTGAACTCTTGAGTCCATCTGTGAATTCCAATACTTGATCAATAAATCAACTGCTTTACTAACAGAATTTATCATTTTTTGTTTTTCTTCTAAATTAATTAATTTATTTTCTGATTCATCTAGCTGATTATTTATTTCATCAGTTTTCTTTATTTTGTTGGCTTCAGTATAATATTGTTTCTGATTCATTTCAAAGCTTACAGTTTTCTTCTGTAAATCTAACATTTCTGCACCTTTCATATTTTTATTCATCCTTAAGGCTAAAAACTTTCTCACGTAGGACCTCAATTTAACATCAGGATCTTCGCCATCATCACTACTATTTGATGAAAATCCGCTTCGTTTAAGAAACTCTTCCAGTTGTTTGACATCATCGCCACTAGATTCAAGGTCAGTCGTTTCTATTAATTCATTAGTAACTGCTTCTCTCATTCGCTCAGCATAACGTTTTTCTTCAACTTCGTCTATATCTTTATCTGAATCTATAATACGTCCATGATGTAATAATTGAAGATCATTGTTAATATAATATGGTTCTTGCAATGACATTCTCTTATTTGGCTCTGGTGATTGTGACTGATCGTCTACTTCTTCAACACCGCCCATTTCAAACATACTGTATCTCTTATTAGTTGTTCTATTTTTCCTTAAAATACTTCTTGGTAAAGGAGGCCTTGGTGGAACTTTACTTGGTTCATTGGAATCTCTTTCACCGTGAGGTAGAGATATTGACCTTTTTGGGAAACCACTATGACTTGTTCTCGCTTGACTTCTTCCCGCACGATGTAATTTCTTATCTTGGCTAATCAAACTATTTTCAGAACTTCCACTATCATAACGATAAAGATAAAGTGGATTTAAGGTATTACTGTTTACTTGATTTGTTGAGGAGTCTGTTAAAATAGTTGATGATCCACGATATCCAGAGGAGGGTTGAGTTCCTGTACTACTACTAGATGAAACATTTGTCGAAATAATTTCATTCAATGTACGTGTCTTATGACGCATATGCGGTGATAAACAAAATAGTGGCTTTTTTGTTTCTTCACTGAGTTTTATATGGCTTGGTATTTCGGGAACATCATAAAGAATTTTTCGATATTCCATGGGTAAAAGAAAAGTTAATGATTCCCAATCTTTTACATGTGAAAATCCACGCTGCTTTAATGCATCAATGTCATTACAAGAAAATGGTCGATTACTTCTTTCAGATTTTTTTGAGATTACCCTTTCTTGTGGCTTTAAAGCAATATTATCAAGTTTTGTATCTTTAATGTTTAAAAAGGATAGATCGGGTAATGTATAATTGGGATATACCACATAAATAGGTTTTTTATCTACAATAGTTTCTTTCAACCATGGATAGTGATTTTTAGGAGGTAAAGAATACAGTAAAGAAGTTTGAACTCCATTTTCTTCTACTTCTGTAATGGCTTGAATACCTGTAGTTTTACAAATTGGTATTGTTTCATGTTCAGATGATTTACTCCAAGATTTTTTAGAATTTTTTAAAGAATCATTTCCCTTAATTGTTTTATCAGTATCATGTTTATTAAAAGTTGCATCTGATTTTAGAATACTTTCAGATAACTCTTCAACTGATGGTGATTCCTCTTTAAATTCTTTAATTGATGGAATTCGTTTTGAAGTGTTACTAGAACTGTCGTCATGGTTAGATGCCCCAGAACTTTTGTAACAATCAGTCTTGACCCAATTGATAGCAAAGTCATTTTCTGGAATGTATTTCTTACAAGTTTCATTAATATTTTTTTGAATCTGCGTGTTAGTGTTTGTTCCACTAGCACTACTGCTATTACTGTTGGGCCATCCATTATCACTTGCTGAATCCGATTGGTCGAGCGTTAAACTCATACCTTCTGCGCTCATACTTTTTTGTTTCATGAATAATTTAACGAGACTCATATTTTGTAATTTTTTCCCATATGATGCATTACTGTTTGCACTTTCATTAACAGATCTACTCATTGCTGATTCAGAATTTAGTAAATGTTGATGATGTGACTCAGCAGAATCCATAGAAAAATTTAAAGGTATATTTATATGTCCATATTGCTGAGTTTTCCTAAGATCCGGAAGACTCAGACTTCTTTTATTAGGATTCAACATAACCGTGGTTGCTGTTACTTGAAGAAAGTTTGGGATTGTGTTATTATTTCCTGATCCATGACGAGTGATAGTTTTATTTGTTGATGAATGTTTTAAATTACTCCAAGTTGTGTAAATTTTCGAATCTGAACATGCCATTGAAAAATCTAACATATTTTTCAAGTTCATCTTTGGATTATAATAAGTTTCTCTTACTTCCGATGTTTTTTGTTTATCTATAAAAATAATATAAAATAAATTAGCTCATGTATATATTATAAATCAAATCAGAAAATTTTATATAGTAATCATTATCACCTTGACTTTCGAAATCTTGCGAACCATCTGAATACATTGTCATACTACCTTCAAATGCTATTGTATAATTATTTTTGTTATTTGCTTGACAAGTTAATAACATATCTTCACAATCTAACGAGTCAACACTATAGCTACCTCCTGGTGGTAGTACCGGTGTTTCCTTTACGGGTGAAAATAACAATGATGACTTACAAATGGAGATTGTATCGGTGGTTGAGCAAGCTGAGTCTTCTCCCTTGAAAAAAAAAAAAAGAAATTTTTAAATTGTAATATTACTTTAATTTATTAATCAAATTCATGCTATCATCGAATAAACAGATAAATTTTCGATAATGTTTCATCGATAAATGAAATTTTCTTCATGCTTGATCTAGTTTATACATTCCTCTTAGACGTAATTCTTAAATAAAAACTAAGTGTAAGTAAAAACATAACAATTATTGTCTGTTCATTTCATTTTGTCCAAGTCGTACCTGGCTACTAATGTGTGGACTAATTGATGAACCAATGTCGATTTTTTCCATAACTGAGCCAGATATACTGGCATAACGTTCTCTTTGATAGTTAAACTGTTGTGTTAAAAAATATTTATTCACATGTATTTAACTGAATATATTTACATAATATATACAGACAATTGATTAGATTAATTATACCTCAGTTTGTTGGACAGGATCAGTGCACATAACTGGGAGAGCTGTGAGCAAAGTGTGGATATCTGCGGTGCGAAAGCTTTCCATGTCCACTTCGGCAAGGTTGGCGTCCAAATTCCTTGCCAAGTCGTCATAGTAACCCAAGTCTTCTTGAGTGTATGAAGTAGAAAGTGAGGAAAGTACGCTTGAATGTACGTGTAATCCTCCATCTCGATATCTATTTGACATAAACATAACATAGATTTATTTCCACAATAATTTAAACATTTTTCTTTAGTAAATATAATGAAGACAAAAAAAATCTTCCAAATAAATATAAAACTGTAAGTTGAAGCTACCAAAATATCTTTCTCTTGAAATTTTTTCTTTATTATTTCTCTTATTTAATTCTATGAACGCTGAAAGATTATATTTACCCATAATCAATAAACCATTGATAATCTGAATTATCTTGAATAAACTCCGAGCTAATGAGATCCTGAGGAATAGGATCTGCTGGATTAGAATTACAGTCAGAACCGGGAGTTTGTGGATCTTCCATTATTTCTCCTTTGTCAATATCTAAACGAACAAAAATAAATATTAATATTATTCAAATGTTAATATTGATTGATGCATAAATTTAGTATCCACCTTAACAGCAATTATTCATATTTTTATACATTTTTTTTAAAGAAAATTTCCATCATTTACTACACAGTTATTATTACATCATAACTTATTTCAAAAACGAGTGCATCTAATAATATAACAGCTGTTCTAATAAGTATTCTCATGAGAATAAATGATTTTATAATCATGGATATAAATGGTATTGTATTCTATTGTAAATATGTAGTCTGTTGAAATACGCCCTGTAACTTCTCGCTATACTCTTCATAAACTTGACTGCAGTTGACACATTTTGAATGATGTAATTATACAAAAGATTGAAACGCATTTTAAGAAGAAAATTGATTATCTACCAGACATGTTCAATAATAAGGTATGAATAATTTAAAATAATAATTTAATAGATATTTATTTACTCACAATAAATAAGTATTCCAAGAATTGATTAATTTGTGTCATGTTATTGTTTATGTACTCTAATTGTGGCTAGAATATTTATTATTTACTTTTTACTCCAAAAAAATAATTCCAAAAACTTAACCATTTAATCCCAAATAATTGTTGTCATTTGACTAATTAGTCCTAATATGATTTAAATGATTCAAGCCATCAAAAAAAATCCCATTACGAACGAACAATATAATTAACTTATTCTAAAATGGAAAGTATTTACATCAAAAATAAAACAATTATTTCTTGAAGCGTAATGACATATTCTTGGTTATAATGGTGCTTCTAATTTAATTTGAATGAACCAATTTTAACCGTTTTCTAACGAATTCTATTTTATCGAATTTTTATTTATTATCCAATATATTGTTGAGACATTGGAATTTAAACAATGACAATTAAATCAAAGAATGCAGACCTGTCTATATTCTTTGATTGGTATTGAAGAAAGTATTATTTTACATAGTATGTTTTTTTGTTTTTTATGAAATATAGTACGTAAACTTTGAGAAAATGTCTTGAATAACAATGACAGTTAAATAATGTCTACTTTAAAACATATATATACCTATTATATGTAATTCTCACAGACCAACCTTCGTTCATTTGTGGAAGTGTACGATCGATCATATCGCGTACGCGATATACAAACCATTCCATATTCAACAATCAATAATTGACACTTAATCACTAATGTATTAAAACTAAATATCTCGACACTACACCTCTATTACTACACTCACAAGACTGAATTTTGAAATGTGCTTGATGTATGAAATACATGAGAATAGAAGAGAAGTGGTAAGTAGAATTGTAAGTAAGTGACGTCATATAAAAGAAACATGGCGAAGCGACAAAATAAATAGAGCGCATGTGCGGAAGATATACAGCGCAATTCTGATTTTTGAAATATTTATAATCAATTTTAATGTGATTAAATCTCCATACTCTTAATAAAGTATTTCAAAAAGTATTTAATAATTATATAAAATTGGAATAAAGTTTTTTCATCTATTTTTTTTGTATGGAATTGTATTGATAGGAACTGAAAAATCGAATTTAATCAATCAATCACGCATATCATTTTATTTTTCATGCACGTGCTTTGAATGTCAGATTAATTAGTATAAAAATTTTTGTCAATTAGCTTAAATAATAATATAGGTTACGTTATTTTTGTTATTCACAGTGTTAAATTTTTATCGTTTCAAAAGAATGTTTGTAGTTGATAGAAAAAATAGTGAAAAATTATAATTATAATATTTTGGAAAAAATTTTATATTAAAAATTCCTTTATATTTTTTTTAATAATAAAAATACCTGGATTTTTGTTTCAGAATATAATTAATCTAAATTGGATACACTTGGATTTTAATAAAAATATTTACACAAGTTAAATATTAATTAAAACCACAGCAAATGATCCGTATGGAATTTCTACTGCATCCGCTCGTATGGCCACACTTTTACTGAGCTATCGTTTTGTGTTATTTGACACTTATATTGTAAGAAATGTACATATTTTGTGTTCTCATTCATGACTCATCTTGAGCCATTAACTTTCGCATAATTACTTATAGTTAAATAACGCCTAAAATTAATAGTTTTTTTTATATTGAAGCAGGTTGTAAAAATAATATTTTGTTTCATATTTTTTTTTTGTTGCAAGGAATAATAACGATGTCTGAAGATCATGAAATATACAATATGAAAGACGAAAATGATTTGGTCGAAGAATGACCGGAAATGATTTAGTTCAAGTGCATAAAGCATTTTATAACTGGGCGTATGCAACAAACTCTCAGCACAGAAAAGTCGACTGTATGAAGTAATTTTAGACAACTTTAAGGTTTGTCTCAAGAGAAAATGAGTCTCACGGGCAAAGTAAGTATTAAAGAACTTGGCACTCGCATATTTCATTTATGTATTTGTGAAATTTGATCTCTCGAAAAACAACTCATATTTTTATCGATAATATGAAGGCGAAAAAAAAACAAAAACAAATCTCAATTATTCAAACTCACTAGCTTGTTATTTTGTATGTAATGTAATGATCAAGATCATTTCAGAGAATTATTTCATATCACTTTAGACGTTATCATAACAATGTAAAATTCATAGAAATGCTTACTTTTGTGATTGTAATATTTAAATTTGTTATTCAAATTATTCCAATGATGAATCTTGAAACGTTTTTTTTGACTTTTACTGTAAAATGGAGGCGAATGTCTTGTTGTTAATGACAAGGGTGGGCTAACGCGCCCAACAGATAACTCAGCTATTTTCATTATGACACACAAAAGAAGCACTAGCATCATATCATTCGAGAAATGTACTACTTAAAGGCTTGTTTTGCCCTTCTGTGTTCACAGCTGCATTATAGTACTTAGTCACTCACTGATTTTTTACATTAACATACATATAAAACTTACTACTTTATGGATAACAAAAAACTTTTAAACATACAATTTTCCAAACAACATTCAACATTATGCACTACACTTTATTTAAAATACACTTTTAAAATAGATAATCATTATTTGTGATTAATTAAAATCAATTATTCCTACAAGATTTTGTTTGTTTCAGCCTGATAAAAATCTCAGATAAGTGGATACAATAAAATATTTCGAGTTTTCTGAAAACGAGTGGCTTGTATCAATTGAAAGTTATAATAATGGAGTTGACGTCACTACAAGCACATAGAGGCGTTTTAAATTGCAACAAGTGACAAACCAATTGTTCCAGTTAATCGAACAGTCAATGTGATAACGAGGCTTTGCTCTCACTAGGTTTTTATTAGGTATATAAGGTCGTATTTTAGTTCTGATGAAGGAAATGTCCAATGAGTATTTTTAATTAACTATGAAATCTAATAAGTTTAAAAGTTTTATTAAAAAATTAAAAAGTTCAATTGTATTATGATGATAAACACAATCACTTCCGGTTATCTAAAATTACTTAAACACTGGTAATTAATGTAATAAAGTTCAAACACCAAACATTTGGAGTAAAGGTTTGCTGAACAGTGTTTTATTATAAAGGCTGCATGATTATAAATCACAGTGATTGATTAAGAAGAAACAAATCGTACACATATCAAAGAAACTTATCAAAAAAATAGTAAGCTAATAGCTTCTGGTGATATTTTATCTAGTGATTGAATTGAATAATATGAGTTTGTAGTGAAATACGTGCGTGGACCACCACAAGCTGACTCAGACTGTTAGCTTGGACAAGAAACGCGCGGAAGAACGTGTGCACACGATACTACACGACGCTGAGTTTAATTTCTATTAATAAATACACCCAGTGCATGGCGAGAATAGAGCTAACTCTTTACTCCTGCAGCTTATTGAATCAACCCTGTTGATATTTTATGCTGTACTGTATTTTTATTCTCTGTCAATTTTACTAATAGAAGCACACCAATTAATTGTTTTAGATGATCATTGGAATTGAAAAGTAATTATCTTTTTTAATTAATCAATTTAAATATGTATTTATTTATTATATTCTTTGTTTAAATAATTTTAAATTTTTTCTATAACTTTACTGATGATTTAACTAAACTTTTGTGTATCTAAGAATGATACTTGAATAATTATAATTTACTACATTTTTAGGGATTCAATCTGATTGTTAAATCAAGATTTGCCACGTGCATCAACTTGGTAGATCCATTTGTATGTTTTCTTGCAGAGAAGCATACATATGAGACGATACATGTTCGTTTAAAATAACAACCCCAGTCGACGTAGGTCAAACATATGCTGAAAGGATATACCTAAGTAGTTTAAGGATGATGACACGAGAAATAAGTTTATCAAATTTCAATCGTTTTTTACTGTATGATTGAAAAAGAAAGATTGTGTTATTCAATTTATTGTCAAAGGAATATTGGAGTAATTTACGATAAATAACAATGGAATTGGTTTAGCGAGAATCAAATAATATCTCTCAATAACTAAAGGTAAAATAGGATTTTTGTCAATAAAAAATTTACTTAACTATTCAAAAATAAATGCTTTTTTATTAGATAAGTTTATTCAAAACTAGTGATATAATGTTTGATTATTGACCATGGCCTAATTTATCATTTTATTAAGATATATTACAAACATTTCGCTGCAAATATTTCCTGATAAGTTTCGAATGGAAATTAAAAAGATCTTAAATATAATGTCAACGTATTATTTTATATTCTTATTTTCTAAATTCTTTTAGGAAATATTGATTTTAAAAGTATTCATCTCAATAAATTGCTGCCAAATTGTTTTATAAAGAGCTTTGCTAAAATTTCGGAGCAATATTATAGACAATCAATTCTCATTATATGATTTAAAATGAATAATTTTAAAAATCCAAATACGGTGTTGCTGCTGCTTTTATATTAAAGTCAATAAATTTCACCTTGTCTAGTGCTGTAGTCAATATCAAAATAATTTTACTTACATTCATGGCAAAGATTTCAACGTGAAGCAATAAATTCACTAATTAATCCACAAAAATCCACACTATTGCCGTTGACTGTAACTAACTGAATCAGTTTCTTCACAATTCGTACCTAAATTGTGTAACAACACAACATGCTGATAGTTTTAGTTTAATTCTTATATCTGCATTAAATTCAGAAATAAAGCTTGAGGGTGTGCAGACTGAGTCACACGAATCAAGAGCCCCTCCCTAACTATACAACCCTACGGTCGATTGTTCATGCGCATGCTCTAGATTTCAAATAAACTGATCAAAGGGGATGATTCTTGTGTTTCGATTAAAGTAACTATTTCAAGGAGTCCAAAAGTCGCAGGATTTTCACTACACTTCCTCATATGATTAACATTAAAATAAAACGAAGTTTGCACTCACATAGCGAGTTTAAACTTGAAACTGTTGATATTAAATATTTCTTTTAACTAAAATTATTCAATAACTATTTTATCATACTCCAAAAAATTGTAATACATTTTTACCATTAGAAAAATTCTTCTCAACATAATTTTCATCTTATTAAGTAAAATCATATTGATAATTTTAACTCATAACTCACAGATTTTTTTATTTATAAAAAAGATCACTAAATTAAACTAACATAATTCCGTAAATAATGGGATGAGGGTCAGTATTGATTTTCTACGAATTTCATGAAAAACTTGAACTACTGAGATTTAAGTTTCGTTAAGTCTTATATTTGGTAAAATTCATTTTTTAGTCTATAGAGACATCATCACATATCTGAAAACCAAAACATAAAGTTTGAATAAATCTCCATGTTTCTAAGCTCTAAAAATTATTTCTCTAAAGACATAAGAAGCAGACATGCATATAAAACAAATATCAAATTAACATAATTAATAATATAATATTAAAAATATAACTAAATAAATCTCAAGATAGCTGTATCAAAATACTCTATATTGAGGGTCTAATTAACAATCCCGAGTCGCCAGACTTGTATTGCAAAGAGTATCCATAGTAGAGCTTTCTGCATTTGCCAAATATTTATTGGCTTGTGAATTAGCTTGAAATAACAACATTTCAAGTGCTGAGCAACCATATGATATGTTAAATGACACTTGGATCAATAAAATGCCAAAAAACTATTCATACTAAGTAACTTGATTTTTATATTTGTACAAATACAAATACAAAATAAATAATTTATAAAAATATTTATAAATAACCCTGTACGTTTATTAGAGCTTTGTACGAATTAAAGATGATTTCTATCAATTTTTAAAAAGTTTAGTTTCATATTTCATTCAATTTAAAACGTTTGGATAAATTTCCATTCGAAAAATAGCCAATTTATTATTTGTACTTTTGTCTTTTCAACAATTACTAATATTTTCAATGATTGATTTTGTTTTTTATCGAGTCGGTATATTTTCATATATTAACGTAATATTAAATGCTAACTAGCTCTATAATTCTTGATCGTTATAAATTCTTAATTTTAATCTATACATACATTATAAAAATGTTATTATTAACACTTCCACAAATATTCTGTTGTTATCAGAATAAATTTCTTTTAAGAGTTAAACCCTGTCTTTTGATAATCACTATGATTTAAATTCTATCAAATGTAAAAATTGAACCATTTTTTTTTGTTGAATATCAGTGAATTAATTGATACAATTGATGACAAAAATAAAATACTGTTAACTTGTATCACAATTCTAAAAAACAATGAACGCACTTTTTAATTATACGTTGAAAACAATTCAGTGATAGGATGAGTCTTACAATTAACATAACTTAATATGCATGATAATTGAATTAGCACAGGGGTATCATGAACTTTTGAATCAGTACATGAATATTCGTTCATTTAAATTGATTTATAAAGAAATTCGAAATTGTAGGTTTCATGTATATCACCAGAGGAATGTTATTATTTCGTTATCAATTATTGATAGCTCCAAAAATAATTTATTACTTAAATCTAGTGAGCTAATAAATTATTCTTCGAGATAATTATTTAATTTTTTATAAAAAGTCGACTAATTTTATACGTAACGTCTATTTTTTGGAGTTTTTTGACATCTTTGTCTTCCGAAAATAGCTATTAATACAATAGCAATAGTAGCAAGAAGTACAGATCCAACAGCCCACACAGCAGCACTAATGCCATTTTTTATCAATCTATTTCCAACCTCAATAGTTTCTTCGGAATCTGATATGACTTGATCCGAGTTTCCAATTGAATGAGATTGAGAGGTAGCATTATCATTATGTACAAATGAAGAATTTACGCTCTGTGAATTTGTTGATTCTGCATCTAAACGACGTTTATTTGTGTGGTCAGATGTTGGAGATACTTTAATTTTTGGCACAATCGTTAAATCTTTAGATGTAGTAGTAGCAATAGTGGTAGTTATAATAGTAGTTGGTGTTGTACTTGTTGTCACAGGTTTATTTATATTTTTTTTATAATCATCTTCTAGGAGCTCTAACTCTTTTTCAAGCTCCAGAGGTAAATTAACATCTTCTTCATAATCGAATTCATCAAGAAAATCTTCGAGCGGTGAAAAATAATTTACTAAAGAAGTAACAGAAACGTCATAAATTTTTAAATACTTCTCCATTGTATAGTGCCAATTTTTGGCAGTTCCGTGTTTGATCATTTTACTGAAAAATTATATGTGCTATTTTAATATTTTATCGTGTTGTAATATCAAAAATTTAATTATAACAAACAACTGAAGAATATACGCTCTCTCATTAAGCTCTTTTTGTAGAAATTTTTTTATGAACAAATTTAGACAAATACTTACATAAAGTGGTGATTTACAGAACGGATTCCAATGTGGTCGGTTTTAACATCTGTCGTTTTCATTAAGTATTCATACATTTGAAAACCAAGAATAATTCCAATAAACTTACTGAAAAAATTATAATAATTGACTAAAAATCATTCAAGTTATGAATAGCATTCACATTCACAAAAAGCTTGATACTTACGGAAGATATGGTTTGTTCTTTATAATATATTCATCGTCTATAAATGTTGGCAATTTCACATCAGATGTATTAATTTTCTCGTACTCTAATCTGTGTTAATAGTGAAACTTAATTTGAATTTTTCTTTTTTAAATATGCATGAACTCGCTTGTTAAAACTCGTTCAAACCCTTTTTCCAAATGTAATATTGAATTCATTTTAAAAATGATTACCTATATTTCCACCATGAGGTAGTTAGGTGTTCAGGATTAAAAGTATTATTTTTAATAGTATCTATTCTCCACATATCTCCACTGAAATAGTATGCGAGTCGTGGAAGAATATCGAGAGCCGTTATCATGATTGAAATAATTTGAAGTTCATCTGGATCTTTGGTCTCATTGGTTAAGTTTAAGGTAGACAACCATGCTGGGCTTGCAGCTAAAATTCCAAATAATTCGGATACACCTTCTTCTATAGCTGTAAAAAAAATTAAAGTATATTTCAATATATTTTTTTAACATGATTCGATATTTAAATCCACTAGTTTTCGGTATCATAAAATATCTACAAAAAATGGACGAAAAAAACTATCTAATCAGTTAATCAAAATGTAAATAAATGAAGATATCACATTAGCTCAAAGTTAGCAAGGAGACTTTAATAACTAAAATGAATTAAAAATTGATATTAATCTAAATTTTGAGTAAATTATGTATAAACATACCAGAATAACGATTTTCAATATTTAAAATAGGACTAGTTTCATCTGACATTTGATGAATCATCACTTTAGCAATATCTTTATGTGCCGATAAATAATTAGTAATCGAAGACTCAGAGCATGTAATAACTCTCACTTTGCCTTCTTTACAGAAATTGATCAGATGCGATGGACACTGCCCTTGAAAGTTACTTTCATTGAAGAATTGTGCCTCTGGAACATGTTTTAGTACTATTTTTGCTAAACCAGATGCCGATTTGTACAAATTTAATCCTGCCATATTCTAAGTAGAAAAATTTATGAATAAAATTGTTTAAATAAAAGTCTTCATTAAATTTTTAAAAATTTACCTTTTCCAATAAATTTTTACGCATAGTATAGATATATTCAAAGTTAGGAATTACGTCCATTGCAAGTGGAGTCCAATCAGTACTTTGAAGTGTTCCTAAAGTGAGTTCAAATATCAATTATTCTAGTTTAAAAGACTGATAATTGTTTTAATTTATTCGGAAAACTGATATTCTATTTTACCTAATAAGTGAGCTGGTAATGTATCACTTTCAATAGCATCTTTATATTTGAAAGACAAACGTTTGTGAACAAATTTAACAAGTTTACTATGAATATTTGATATCTTCATCCATTGAGTTTTCATCTGTGTGTATCCATTTTCATATCCACATAATATTTGCCAATACTCTTCCACATCTTTTGCTCCTGAAAAAAATTGTCAGTCATTGTTTTAGAATGAGAAAAGAGTCACTATCAGGGATATTTTCAATATTAAACTGCTATTCACATTCCATATACTAAAACGAATTACGCAAAGAAAATACTTGACAATTATCCAAAATTGCTTATAATGAGTATGCTTTTTGCTCATACTAACCATTAGTTATTGCTGCTTTCTGAACATATTGTAAATTATCTGGAAATTTTTCGATCAACGGCATTAATGATTGATGCCATAATGTCCAGAACTTTAATTTATTTTCCGCTGTTCCAATATGAGCTAATACAGTCTCTGCATCTTTAAATCAATAATTTTTTTTTAATCTATGTTAATTAATAAATAATAATACAATCTACGATATGTAAAATAAATTTTCTTTTTCATCCGTTTTTTACCTTTTCGATGTAAATGTTCAACTCCTGTAGTGTGATTTCCATTGAATCGCAATAATTCTGCTTCACCAATAAAAGAGATGAAATTGCTCCAGTCTTCAGGATTTAGCAATGCATCACCAGGCTTAGTGACAAGATCAAATTCATAGCCTGTGGAAGGACTCAATTCAGTTCCATTCATCAATACGCTTTTTTCAGCTTCAACTTCATCCTTCTTTTTACGCTTAAGTGAAGCATAATTATTAAGGGCAGTTTTCTGTAAATTAGAAATATTTATTATAACTTTTTGTTTTTGGAATGATGTAAAATAAAAATTAATTTTGTGTATTATATTTTTAAAAACTTTTAATAAAAGAAGGTGATAAACGTTATTCATTTACCCAAAGTTTCAGGGTATTTTTGTTTGGATGTTGGATGAAGATCCAGTGGGATTCAGCTGTATTGTTGCATTCATCTCCATAATCATATCCAACGAATTGTAAAGAGGTTTCTAAATGACTTTCGTTTGATGTATTGGATGTACTTGTTGCAATAACAAACAAACCAGTGATCACATAGCACCACTTTAGATTCATACTTTGTACTTCTAAAAGTATTGACAATTTTTAATACAATATTTGTAGAATATTTTCAAAAGAATAGCTTGTCTAACAGAAATGGAATTTCAAGTGGATTGTAATCACAAATGTCTTAATAAAACTGACGATCGATTGATCGTACGTCTTCTCAATTCTAATTATTTAATTTCAGGCAATTGGTGATAATAATTGATTGAATTAAATCATACAAGCATCAAATAACGTTGAAATAACATTTAAAATTATTTATTTGAATGATTTTTCTTCATAGATGATACTGATGAATACAGTCCTTCATTGATGGTATTACAGTATACTTGGAATTTATCAATCTTCTCTTGTGAAGAAAGTAATATCTGGAATTAATTCAATTTATAAAAGATGTAGTCTAGTGAGAATAAATTCTTTTTCGAGAGGAATTACACATGTACAATATATACATTGTATTTCTTCTATTAATATAAAGTAATCTGGTATTTATTAATATAACACTAGTAAATAAAGAAATTCTTTAAAAGAGCTTAAAATACGTTCAATGTGTGTAGAAACAAATTACAATTATTTTTAATATAAGTATTTTAATTTATTTCTTTTACTCGTAATTTATGAAGAATCGTGAAAGTATATCACTATACATGAAATTCCTAAATCATGAGTAATAACTAGTCTGCTGAAAAATGTTATGTAAAACATAAAAATTATTCATCTTCAGATAATTTTCTTTTTAATTTAATTAAAAAATTTTTTTAATATTTTATAATTTTTGATAACTATTACATGTGATTCCTAAATTTTTTTTGGAAATCAAGTGTACCATTGCAATAATCAATCTTAATTTAATAAATTATATTTGATATTTGTATTTATATATTTTCTATTTATTTTAATATTTCCTAGATTTGCATTACATGTTTTACATGATAATAATGACATCACGTGACCTGTATTGTATTTGCTACTGTCTTGATTAAACGTATTATTAAATACGTCCTCAGTCAAGGTTCGAATGAATAAAATTAACGTTCAGCAAGTAATAGCATATACACAACCGCATGTTTTCATTCACCTGAAGAATTGAAACGTGAATAATACTTGAAAAGTATGAAATGATTTCCGCTCAATTATCTAGAAAAATTATAAAGTAATAATTGATAAGTCCTTTAGTCTTGATAGAAAATTGTTTTTATTTTTGTTCTGTTGATGATTACTGTTATTTGAAAATATCGAATTTTATTTAATGATTTTTATTAACATTTCATAGTCTGAGAGCGATCGAATAAATAAATGTAAATTAATAAGCGAAAATCTTTCCATCTTTCTACCTCATAATATTTTTTTTCAGTCAAATAGATGCACTTCGGCTTAACCTTTGGCTTTGTGTCAAGGATTAGACCTAGATGCTGCGCACAACAAGTTAACTACAATACATCTGCTAATATTAGTTAATATATTTGTTAAACTTTAGTTAAAACTGAATAACTAGATTTTTTGAATGACCGAAAAGAATAAATTTTTTCAAAATTTTAATTTATATTTAAGTTATGAAATAAAAGAGAAAATTTTTCAAATTTATTAATACATAAATGATGTCATGTATTTGACTGAATTTTATTTATGCACTTTTATTGGAATGTCAAATTGTATTCGAACAGAATAAATAATTCTTAGATCGTTTTTTCAAATGAAAACTGACGTAATTTGAAAAATATAAATATGGAGTGGTGAATTACTGATGTATCAATTTCTTAGTATTAAAGAATGTATCGGAATTATTTTTGATTAATTGATTATTTCTTAAATTCTGATTTATTAAAAAAAATCTATTGTCGATTGTTTGATGTAATAATACCACAAAGATATTATTACTTAAATAAGTTGTTGACAGAAAGATTATTGCCATGTTATAAAATTAATAGCAGAACTATTTATATTTTGACGCAATTTCAAATAAATTAATAATTGTGAACATTATTGCTATTGGATGGTATGCAAAAATAGAAAGATATGAAATAGTTAATTATAAATAAATATTAAAAAATTGTTGTTGATTACATATGAAAATTCTAATAAAACTTCTATTAATTACCTTCAATAGTTGTAAGTTAATTATTTATCAAACAAAATCTTTTGTTTTAATTTTTAAATACTATAAAATGAACTTTTATTTCAGAATTGGCCGAAATTTTCACTGTTTTGCTCTTGACACTTAATCGGTTATCTTGTCTGATGGTGATGACTGATGACTGTAAATACTACACTAGGAAATTCCTTGTTGCACAAGTAATCAAGTGATATAACTTAGGTACAACGATTAAGCGGTTTATCTAAGAAAAAAAGGAAAAAATTCAACACGTTTTGTACACCCGCGCTGACAATTAGTTCAAAGTTCAATCGATCTAGATTCCGTTGTATCACACTCTTTATTCCATCGACGACATTATTACAATGAGCGGTAAATTCTTATGCGAAGTGATGACTGCAAACAGTCATAAATCACATTGTTCGATATAGATATTCCTTTTCAATCTCTTTAAATTTTTTTATAACCACTTCCGTCGGTAAAGTTAATTTCTATCATTGCATGTATTGTTAACAAAAAAATATATTTACCATCATGAAGAATAATGAGTCCTTTTATAAATAGCTAACGATAATTTTAAAAAATTTTAAATGCATTTTTTTTAAATTACGATCATTTATAAATTATTCATTAATATCAGTTTTACATAGAGTTCAAAATAAATTTTAACAAATTATATCTATAACATTTTTAGAAATTTTTTTATTTAAAATTTTTTTTTTCTACCGTTTTCTGTCAATCGAAATGAGATGTAAACTTTTGAGATTACATACTTTTTCGATTGCTAATTATAAATGTTTATTATCATGTTTGATTGAAACTGTACGGCAATTAGATGATTAAAAATGCACCATACGATACGTATGCCAGAAATAAATATCTGTCATCAGTTCCAGGAATGCACGATGCTTAGATGTGTTGATTGTTATTAACTTTGATATCTTAATGTTTCAAAATTGTTAACGATAATATTCATAATCATTTAAGTATCCCATTTTGGGCTCTACGTGATATGTAATTTTAAGCAATCGATTTTATAGTTGGAGTATGCGTATTGAATATCTCGTGCAAATCAACAATACATCGTGTTTACTCTTTGATCCCAAGTAAGTTTTTAGATTTAAATCATCAAAAACGGTCAAATTTTTGTGCTACTTGATTTTATCAAAAGGTTTAAATAGTGAACAAATTTTTAGTACTTAAATTTAATGCGATATTTATTTTTAAGTATTTTAAATTAAGCATAAATAAATTTTAAAATAATATCAAAAAAGGGAAGATGTTGAAAACAGCTGTTATTTATTATAGAATTTATAAATTGTTACTATTATCGCATTATTGTTCGAAATAATTATTTTTAATGGTATATTTATTTATTTTTTAGTCAACATGCCTTCAGTACGAAGAATAATACTGAGACATGTAATGTCTGGAATATGTTCAAAAATGAACCGGACAAAACGCTTAGATGGAGATATGATGGAAACACCACTTAAAAGGTGTTTATCAACTTTTGACATGACCCTTCTTGGTAGGTATGTGTTATTATTAGATCAATTTTGATATAATATAACAAATTATTTACCAACACTTCTGCTTATGCATTTCAGGTGTTGGACATATGGTTGGAGCAGGCATTTATGTCCTCACTGGAAGTGTAGCTCATTCGATAGCTGGTCCCGGTGTAATTATAAGTTTTATGTTGGCTGGATTAGCTTCTCTTCTAGCAGCCGTTTGTTACGCTGAATTAGGATCTCGAGTCCCTAAAGCTGGAAGCGCCTATGTTTATACCTACGTTACAATGGGTGAATTTTGGGCTTTTATAATTGGATGGAATATCATGTTAGAACATGTGATGGGTAAAAAAAGAACTGTTATATTCAAGTTTATTTTTAAAGAAAAAATGAAAAATGATATATGATAGAAATTTTTAAATATCTTTCAAAACTATTCATAGTAAATGCACAAATAGATTAATTGGCGGATATTAATATTTAGGTGCTGCTTCTGTTGCACGAGCTTGGAGTGGATATGTAGATTCATTAACTGGTGGACCATTTAAAAATATGACTCAATCATTGATGTATTTAATTACTGGAAATGACATGAATGAATCAACATTAAATTTCTCACCTGATCCTGTAGCGGGTGTTATTTGTATTCTTTATGCTTTATTGCTGGGATGTGGAGTTAAAGTATCAGTGAGATTGAATTCTATTTTCACTCTAGTAAATCTTGGCGTTATTATCTTAGTAATTGGAGTAGGTTCACAATTTGTTGACTTGAAAAATTGGTTTGATGAAAGTCATGGTGGATTTCTGCCATTTGGATTTCAAGGAGTTCTAACTGGTAATAATTAATATTCGCATATCTAATACGATCAAAATTTGACTAAGTTATTGGTTAATTAAGTAATATTTATAAAAAATATTTTTAAGGTGCTGCAAGTTGTTTTTATGCGTTTGTTGGTTTTGACTCAATTGCTAGCTGTGGAGAAGAAGCTAAAAACCCGAGCCGAAGTATTCCTTTGGCTACAATATTTTCAATGGCAATTGTAACCGTTGGTTATGTTTTAATAAGTGGAGTGGTTACATTAATCGTTCCATATTGGCAAATAGATCCTCGAGCTGCGCTTCCAGAAATCTTTGATTCTGTTAATATTACTTGGGCTAAATACGTAATAACTATAGGTGCCCTTTGTGGAATGACAACAACGTTATTTGGATCTATTTTTGCAATACCAAGAATTATGTATGCTATGGCCTGTGACGGACTTCTTTCTCCCCATTTTGCCAAAGTTAATCAACAGATACAATTACCTATGTTTAATATTGTCATAAGTGCTATTCTTTGCGCTTCAACAGCTTTCTTTTTTGATCTTCAACATCTTGTTGAATTTATGTCTATTGGGACTTTTTCAGCTTATTTAATTGTTTCAGCAAGCGTTATTATTTTGCGATATAGACCAGATAATCAATTATCTCCAACACTTCCTACAAATACCAAAAAAAATCACTCGCTTGAATCTCCAATGAGTGATAGTAGCAGTCCTACAAGTATTGCTGATTCTTCATCACCTGATGATTCTGAGGTAAATAATTTCCCTGTACTTACAGATATAGTCACTAAAAATCTAATATAAAAAATTATTTGTTCCAGTCACTTATAAACGATCAAATAAACAAAGCTGGACATCTAAAAGCGCGTTATTCAAAACTTGCACGGTATTTTGGCAACTGGGAACCTGGAATGGCAGTTACTATAGCGGTTATTATTTTTACTGGAGCATGCATTGCTCAAAGTATTATCAATTTTTATCTCTTTATTGAACCAATTTCATGGGCAAATATACTTCTTAATGTCCACTTTATTTTGATTATGGTAATATGTGAGTATACTTCTATCATTCAAATAATTAATTGAAGAATATAAAAAGCAGAAATATATCAATACATCATGGAATTTTTCTTTTATGAATCATATAGGTTTGCTTGTAATCAGTGCTCATGAACAAAATCCACCTGTTGATGATAAATGCCGAGTTCCAATGGTACCCTTAATACCGGCATTAAGCATTTATTTCAATATAATACTTATGGGCCATTTGCAAATAGTAACATGGTATCGATTCTATAGTGGGATGTTCATTGGTAAATTAAATTTATTAATTATATAAATACATAATTAAAAAATAATTTTAGAAATATTCATGTATCTTTTTGTATATTTTTAGGTATATGCATTTATTTCCTTTATGGTATTCATCACAGTAAAGAAGCTTCAGGTGCAAATTCATATTCTGTTCTTATGACAAAAATGGAATTAGAGCAAGTTCAGTCTCGTATGAAACTTAATTTAAAAACAAAGCAAATTCCATCGTATTCTAAAAAAGATTCAGATCAACTACCTATTCTTACTAATTAATCATATAACTGTTAAAATTTAAATAAGTCTATTCATATATTTAAAAAAAATCGCTTAAGAAATAATCAAAATATTTAAAGAATCGTTAAATATAAAAATAATATACTTAAAAGTCCAAAAATATTTATTTATTTTAATAATGTAATATATTTCGAACAATAACTATTATTTTTTACATCATACAAACATTAACCAATGAAAATTATAGAGAAATTTAGTTTAATACCATAATAATAATAATTTAACGTAAAATTGAACTGTAAATTATTTTTAAATAGATTATTTTTAATATCATTAAATAACTATATGTATAAAAAATCATTATACATTGTTAAAAAAAAGTACAAAAATTAATTTTAAAACATTATTCTTGTATTAACTCTTACATGTAATTCATTTACATCAATGAATTGAACAACATGCAATAACTCATAATTGATTTGTGTGTTTTGTTAAGGAATGATTGATTCATTAAGTATTATTACATTTATTCTATTGATTAAATTGACTAAAAACTTTACAGTTAGCATTTCATAATGTATTGGAGTATAATACAATTCATCAGTGTTCTATGTACATTTCAACTATTTAAAAAAATAAATGGTGATACAGATCAAGAATTTCCTGTATTTTTTCGATCTTTACAAAATACCAATCATGGTCAGAAAACTGAAGTGCGCTTTAATGATGATGAAGATGATCCAGATGAAGGCAGTTTTTGTCCACCTACCCATTTCGGAGAAATTGCACGTCAACCTTGGGATGTAAAAGGAGCTTTATCTGTATCCTTGGTACTTCCAACTCCAATACCTGAGAAATCAACAGAAAAATCGCCTTTGACCGACTGTGATGATAATGATAGTTCTGCATCACTAATTATAAAAGTGTTATTTGATCATGATGATTTGTGTGCTAAAAATCGTATAAAAACTAGAATTATTAAACCAACGGATGAAAGTAGTTTATCAAAAGAAAATGAAAACATTAAAAGTACCAAAATTTTTGATGCATTTGAACAAATATAATTCATGATATTGTTAAATGAATTTTGATCTTCAAAATATTTTATTAAAATGTGTGAAAAAAATCGTACGTATTTTTGTGAAAATAACTTCTAATAAAAAATTATGAAAATCATTTTTTTATTGTAACCCTTTTGTAGGCTCGTTCATCCTAATAGAATGACGCAGACGCAATGATGAAAATAGCAACTTATTTTTATATTATACTTAGAATGTTTGCATAATAAATAGTTTGTGTGATTTTCTGATTAAATTCATAATTGTTATTCACATACTTTTTTTTTAGTGATTAGAATTTGTTTCAGAGAATTTTTTGTATCAATAAAATAAAAAATAAATTTTACTTTATCTTAAGTATGTGAAATGTGTTAAAAGATTTATAAGGAATGTCGATGTTTGAAGTGTTTTATATTGTATTTTTCAAGAATTGCTCAATATCAAGAGATATATTTTTTTGAATCTTTTAATTTGTGACATTTGAAAAATTAAAACAAGTATTTAAAATTACATTTTCCTTCCAAATAGAATATTGTTTTCATAATGAAAATTTCTAAATCAATAAAAACGTTCAACATTTTACTAGACAATTCAACAAGTATTTATACACCTGGTTCATTATTAACAGGTCAAGTAGTTCTTGATCTGCTTAAACCTAAATCATTTCGAGGTATTTGGATTTTTGCCATCAATTTCACAATTATCATCATGATTACCATAATAAAATTATATCAATCATACATCGTTACAGCTTTAAAATTGCGATTCAAAGGTAAATGTAAAGTTCGATGGACTGGAAACTCTTCTGGAAGTGGAAAAAATACACAAACTGAAGGTTATACTGGAAGAGAGCAATATTTTGATAATGAGTTACTTCTCTATGAAAAAAAAAGTAATATAAAAACATTAATTTATTATTAACATTTATTAAGTAATTTTTAATTCAAAAATGAATTAAAAATAGATTTTACTTTAAGAAAATGACTTAGAATCTTTTATTATTTTAATGTACGACAATGTATTTATATTACATTTTCGCAGGTGGTTCTGAAGAGTTATCAACGGGGTTGCATAATTTTCGATTCAATTTCCAATTACTCCACAACATTCCAAGTAGTTTTGAACATAATAATGGTTTTGTCAGATATACTATTACTGCTATTATAGATAGACCCTGGAAAACCAATTATGAGATTACAACTGTATTTAGAGTAGAAACTTCTCTACGAGTAGATTCATCTTCCTTATTGGTATTTAATCAACAACATCAAGAATTATTATTAACAAATAATTATAAATAAAAATAAAATAACAACTGATTACAGCAAGGTATAGAAGATGAGATTAGTGAAAATTTATGTTGTAAGATAGTACCATGTATTCGTTCAAGAGAAATTGAACTTCGATTTCGATTACCTAAAAGTGGGTACATTTGTGGAGATTATATTAAAGCAACTATAGATATCGGTACTTGTCAAGTTAAAAAACTGAAATTGATGCTTGAACAGGTTATTATTAAATATACTAATTTTATTATCTGTACACTATTATTATAATTCAATTATAAATATAATTTTACACAGACATTGTTGTTTCACTCAAGAAAATTACACAAAAAAAAATGTATTACTAGTATAATAACGGAAACCATAAAAGAGGGTCCATTTGCAGAAGATATTAAAGAAATTATTGAACTAAGAGTACCAATTGTTCCTGGTTCTCGTTTAGAATATTGTAACTTGATAGATATTGACTATAAACTTATATTTTATGCCGAAGTTTCTAATTGGTAAATAATTTAAACAAATTTATTGCATTTTATATATATTTGTATTCGTCAAAAAATAATATTGACACTTTTTTTCATTTCAGTAATTATTCAATCAAAAGAAAATACGACATTTTCATAGGATCTGGGTCATCAGCATTATTGTCTCAGCAACAAGTGATCAACTATCCTCCTAATTTAGCATCAACAATTGTTCCATCTGCACCTAATTGTGATTCGAATTTAATATTATCTCCACCATTGCCATTAGTACATGAACAGAAGCCGATTCTTCACAATTTAAATCTTTCTTCATCATGTTCAAACACATCATTGAATCCAGTACCTCAACCAATGTGTAACATTGGATTCATTTATCCTTATCCTTCAGCACCAGTCGATCCTACACTTGAATCATGTAAAAATTAAAAAAAAACATTGATCAAGTTGATGCCAATTTTCGTACCACTGCCTAACCAATTTTCTTAAAAATATTGTCAAACTAAATACTTTTTTTCACAATTCAACCATTTTCTTGATGTGTGATTCTAATTGTTGTCTATTTCGGTGTATCTCGTTATGTCAGTATTAAACATATCAATTATTAACATTATCAACACTAATAATCTTCCATAATAATTTACTTCGAATTTAATAATAAAATTTCAATCACAATGTATCAATTTGTCATTAAAATTCTGTATGATTAAAAATAAATAAATAATAAAAAATGTATTCTAAATATGAGAGCCAAATGTTCAAAATAAATAAAAATTATATACACATATATAAATGCTAATTATTCAGATATTTTTAATTATTAGAGAAAGAATATTTATTACACACTACGGTAGAATATATTCTTGTAATTAAACTAATTAATAATGAAAGAACACTTTATCCTTCTTCTTGTATTTACACAATTTATTTTATATTTCAACATTTTCATATTATTATTATAATTTTCATTAAATCATCTTAATATTAAAAGTAAAATCAAATGATGAAAAAATTGTCGTCTGGTAAGAAATTACGTGTAAGTCGTAGAAATATTTTTTTTCTCTCTACATATGCATAAAAATTAACATGACAATTATAAGGGAAGAGCTTCAAATAATTATTCATCCCAGATTCTGAGCGTTTAAAAATAAAAAATATACTTATGTAATTATTTATTTTGTATTATTACAACCATTTTTCAGTTATAAAATGTTATAAAAAGGAAAGTAACGCTCAAAATCAATTTGAAACTCAAACACTATCATCAGAGACCATTCTTATTAATTTAATCAAATACATAATATTTAACATTACTGCGAGTTTAACAAAATGATAAAAAAATGTACATATAGTATTTTAACACTTAACTGACCGGATTTACAGACTATAAGTTTCAACCAGTTCTAAGAGTAATTGCTAAATAACTACTTAATATTATGGTATTATATGTTATTTTAAAAAAAAAGTGAAAATATTGAACTATAATTAATCTATAAACATTATGTTATTTAAAGCAATTCAGTTGACAGAATGATCCCTGATGAAAGTTTGTTTAAATTTATTTTTAATAGAAAAAAATATGGAAGCAATTTGTATATGTACTTGCTGATACTAATAATCGATAGTTATAACGCATCCAATAATAAATCTTTAATTGTATTCAAATAATTCATTGCACCCTTTTGTCGTAAATAACGAATTGGTTTCATTCAAATATCTTATATAAATAAGCTCAGAATCAATATTTCACTGTACTAATTGTATCTTAACACTCTTTTCTTTTTTACTATTTTTTTTCTCCAAAATGATACTGACAGTATTCGTGCTCTAAATATCATAAAAGAACTGTGCGTCCTGGCGTTAGAAAATTTTTTTTTCATTATGTTACATTAAACTTCCTTCGGCTTAGGACAAACAACCTTCAATATATTATTATCATAAATAAATTTGGTCTATCGGTAATAATGTAAATACGCCGGTACGATCCTGGCAGTATTTGGTAAAGGTAGTTCATGAATACTAGAAGTGCGTTTAAAGATACATAAGATTATAAAAGATCTAATTAATACACATTCTATTTTATATAAACAATTAGTAAAACGCTATTTTAACATGATATATTTCAGTTAATAATTAATAATACATAAACATAAATTGATGTAACACTTCTAGTAAACTTGATTAAAAAACCTTCATTTAAATGACCGGGGTTGTAAATCAGATAAATACTTTTATAAATGATACATATGTTATTTTTAATAATTACATATAAATAATGTTATCAAAACATAATTAAAATGAGAATATGTGCAAAATAATAATTGTGTAAATAATTAATGTATTAATATTAGGCTGATTGGATGATTTTTATAAACATTTTCTATTTAAATGATAGATATTGTGTAGATTTACAAGTGCCCCCGGCCAATTTTTATATAAAACTATGATGACCTGCTTACTTGTATTTAATTTCAGCACTTTCCTTAATAAAAAATAGAATTGGTGTGATAGATGAATAGTGTTGTGCATCGTCTCAAGTTCAAAGCTTTCATCAACTATTTTTTTCTCTATATTATAAATATCATATTGAGTTTTGGTAATAATCCAAATAGGGGAGAAAAAGACGAAACTTTATATTCATATTATATTAATGTTGATGAATGTCATGAACTAGAGGTGATTATAATAGTAGTACTCACATTTGTATTAGTGTTTTATGTATGTATAACGCTCCAGTTTATTTATTTAATCACTTTGTTTTTAAACGCATTCATTACACTTTTTCACTTCGCACGCTTCCAATAACACCTATAATAATATATTTATTATATTACTATTTCAATTTCATTAAATTATCTCATTCATATTTTGAAATATCATAAATTTTTTTGAAAATATAAATTACCATAACTAAATATGCGCAAAGTCTTAGCCTTCCCTTTTAATGTTACCTGGCGCTTCAGCTAATCCTTTAACTTTGAGCCGATCTGCTGTTTTTAAAAATGCTGGTAACTGATCTTGAGAAACATTAACTTCTCCAGCATACATAAATTCCAATATTGCTTGTAGATGATTGTAAGCTACATCTTTCAAAATAATTATGGGATGCTTGGACGGATTTTCCTGTAATTACCAATTATTATAATAATAAAAAAAATAATAGTAATATGAACAATCAATTTTTTTAATTTTTAACGATTTATTGATATTTTTTTCTAAATTTAGTTTGACTTACCTCAAGAAGAGATTTGAAATAAGGACTACATGCGGATAGTACCATTTTATGTGCTTTGCATGTTTGTCCATCACAGGCTAGTGTCACATCAGTAAAGCTTTTTTCATCTCGTAGATGTTTAAAAGACGATACCATATTTGATTGGAAATCATTCCATTTAAGAAAAAATTGCTGTTGTTCGCCCGCCATTGTTTATGATTATTTGTGATGATACAATTTAAATATATAACTGAAACTAATTAAGCAAACAATATTAATAATCAGTTAATGTTTTAGTTGAGTAAAAAGTAATACATTAATTAATTAATAATCCTTATAAGATTTTATTAAAGGGTAAATAAGTTTATGTAAATCCTTGAAGTTTAAGAATTAGAACTAAATAAGAAGTTAAACTTATTGAGGTTAGAGGTTATTTGAAGTTTTGACTGTAGTCTACGAAACAAACAACGAAATAATAAAAAAGCAGTCTATTATAGAAATGATGATATATAGTTATGATAAAGTGATATTAAAATATTATTTTTATAGTAATGTAATTTTACATTAATATATTAAAAAAAGACGCGTGCATCCGTCTGTTATTTAATCTTACGTATACGATATTAGTCCCAAAAAACAGATCCATTTGTGGTTTGCCGCGCAAATAAAAAAGAAAAACAATCAAATGCTTTGTACTTACTATTTATTGGTAATAGTAAAATGATATTTTTTTTATTTAAATTGAGATGATAGCTACAGAAATTCACACTCTCAAAGAAAATTATGACTATCGCAAGTATTATATACACAGCGAAAACTTTACAGTGAATGCTGCCGATATCTTGTTGTGGCTAATACCACGGTGATGATAATTCGGACAAATTCGAGCAATGTCGCTTTCCTTCGGCAAATAATTACGGAAGCTCGGTCGACTCGATTCCCTTTCGATTGAAAGTGGCGCCATATTGTGACAACCTTCGACATGTGTGCACAAAAATATGTCGAAAATAAAGAGAACGATATGACCATTTGCAACAAATTACCTTGATTTTTAAAGCTATGCAGTTATCATTCGATGATAAAAAAGTGTATGTATTCGTTATTAACACTGAGCGATAAAATATAAAATTTTAAAAAATTTATACATTCTTGTATGTTTAAATAATTAAAAATAATATGACCCAGAATTAATTCCTTCAAACATTTACATTTATAGAATAAAAATGTTTTCATCACCAACAAAGTTTTACCCTCATGGATTCTCTTTCGGTAGAATCACATCAACATAACCTCAATTACGTGCAAATAAGTATGGTTTCTAAGCATACAGGTGTTTTGAACAATCATTTACTGATGTTTTAATTTTTTTTGACATAAGCAAGAATGTCTCGTATTGTGAAAATAGTGACAACAATCAGAAATAATTGGAAGAAATCCTTAGTTGGTGTTGCAGCTGTTACTTATGGTGTTTCATATGCATCTGAAAAATATCAGTAAGAAACAGTTTTATTAATTTGTAATTTATATTAATTTGTACATTAATTTATGTTCATTTATATATCATTTAAATTAGAACCAATTCGTTAATGAGAGCTTATTGTCAAGAAGTTGTAAAATTTGGTGATGAACCACTACCTACAACGAAACATCCACAACACCTTGTAGTTATTTTAAATCCTATTGCAAAAAAGAGGTGAATACGTAGATATTATATGATACAAGTATATTAATTACTTGGTAAATTTCAATGATTTTTTATTATTTTTGCAGAAAGTGTAAAAAGCTATTTCAAGAGTTTTGTGAACCTTTATTGCATTTAGCCGGAATTGCAGTGACAATAATTTATACTGAACAAGAGGGCCATGCTAGATCTTTAGTTGAAAAATTAGAAATTCCAGCTGATGCTTTTCTAGTTGCTGGAGGAGATGGTACAGTTTTAGATGTTGTTACAGGTCTTATAAGAAGATATGATGGAAATTTATCAAACATAAAGAACATTCCTATTGGAATATTACCTCTTGGAGAATTAAATAAATTAGCTAACTCAATATTTGTTGATAAATATGATGATCTTAATCATGTACGTCAAATGATCGATGCAACGATGGCAGCTATAAGAGGGTCAACGAAATTAATTGATGTTGTTAAAGTAGAACCACTTGTGGTAGGAATATTTTAATAAATCAGATAAATTGATATAATTCAGAGATATTTTGATAAAAAATAATTACTAAGCTTTCTCTTGTATCAGCAAGATCCTGAAAATCTTATCAAACCAATTTACGCAACAAACACAATTCAATGGGGTGCCTGGCGAGATGTAGAAGCTCGACAAAGTAAATATTGGTATTGGGGAAGTTTGAAAAGGTACAGTTTATCTTTATTTTTATGCTATTAACATTAATATGACATTATCTTAATGTATTAATTTTTTTACCCTTACTAGCAATCGTAAATTAATGTTAAAAAATATATTATTAAAAATTTTTTCAGTTATGTGACTTATATTTTTAATGGCTATAAAAAGAAAAATATAAACTGGGATTGTAACGCTAACATCCGATATTCAGACCCATGTCAGGGTTGTTCCAATTGTTATAATAAATCTCAATTCAATGAAAGTTCTGATAAACGATGGTGGCATGTATTTATTCCCAGAATAAAGAGTTACTCAAATGAGCCAGATTACAGTAGAATAAAAAATGAAAATTGTAATAAATATCACGAAGTTCCAATAACAGCTACTGAATTGAGTATAGTAACTAGAAATGTAGAACATTCTTTAGCGGAAAATCTACCAGCAATGAAATTAAAACTTGGTACATATAAATATATACTGCATGAAAGATAGTCCAATATTTAATTAATCACTGGATTTTTATTTTAACATCAGTACATTCATTATTAACTTAATTACGATCAATTATTAATAATACAAAAAAATTCATTTAGGTCCTGAAAATATAAGTTATTTAGATTTCGTCAAAGAAGGATGGAGAAGGAATAAAGGTTATATAACCCTTGTACAGAAGACATTTGAGGCTAAAGATTTAGAGTTGATGCCTACTATGTCAGATAATTCGGTAAGTAATTGGATTAATCTTGTTTGTGATTATTTAATAAGGTATGTCTTTTAATTACAGGATGATCAACAGTACTTTTCTATCGACAATGAAGAATTTGAATTAAAGCCAATGAAACTTAAGTTAATACCAAATGCTGTAAAAATATTTTGTCCATAATAAGACAATTTCACATAGAATTGAATTTTTTAATTTAGTTAATTTTATTGAGCTAAAATTTTTAATAATTTAACAATTTATTTTGAATCATTTAATGATTTGATTTTTTTTCTTATAAATATTTTTTATATTAAAAATATTTACACTAGTCAAGAACAAGAATATTATTGTTATAAACTATCTAACTATTTCCTTTCAGTCCTGCTGTGAATAACATGCACGTAGTATCTATTTAAATCTTTAAAACAATAAAATCTATTTTAATTTTTGTTATTTACAATTTTCATATTTGTTCATAAAATATTGGGACGATTGTCATGCTTTACTTTGCAAAATTTACACAACATGTGTATAAATATTCATTTAATGATAAACATTAAAAAACGTGTGCAGCTATTATTCACTTGAATTTCTTGCTCAAATAAAAATTATTCAAAAAAAATTTTATTTGCGTAACAAAATTAGACTGAGTCTATTAAGTAAATTCACTGATGTTTGTACGAGATTACCAGCATTTGAGAAAAATAATTCAATTTTTGTCCCTATCATTTTTTCAATATCAATATTTAAAAATATTTCGTTAAAGTAATATCGTCATTACACCATCTGTCAATCCTTTCGAAAAATTGGAAAGCAGTTTAGTAATACTTTATAAAGAATTTTTTTCTTAATCCAATTGTGAGGCACTTTTATATCACCATACTTGGCTAATTTTTGATTAGGATAACATTAGAATTACTAATAATTCTGTCCCCTAAATTTCTTGTACTTTACTTAAGGATATCATAAGTCCTCAACTTCATTAAAATGGTTTAACATTTCGACAACGATAACTATAAACAGAACTACTTGTTCAAGTAATGATTTTCGAACATTAGAATCAAGTAATTAAATATTCTCTTAGCTTTGTCTAATTAATTTGGAGGAACACCAGTTTCTTCCCTTTTTGAAATTAATCTTTGAGCATCGTCAGCCTTTTTCCATCCCCGAAGACAAAGTAAAAATCCAATGAACGATAATAATAGGCCTATACTGGCAATTCCATAAAAAGTAACTTCACCTAACGTTGGAAGAGTTAAAATAAATTGAATTTGTTTCGTGTATTCTGGCGTTAAATCTGCCTCCTGAGAAAACCACAATATAGGCATATATACACGAGGTATTTTCTTGAATATTCTGTAATCAAAAAATGTCATTAATTTTGGTTCATTTTACTTTTAATTTGAATAATTTTACAATTGTTTTCAATTAATTACTTGATAACTTTGCTTGGCTGAACTAGTAAATTTAATTGCAATCGGGCTCTCACTTGAAGTGGAACACCAACATCCTAAAGAAATTTATTAATTCTTAGAAACATTATTATTTAAAAAATTTATTAAATTAATTAAAATTATATTTACCGGTTGTACAACCATATAGAACTGGTGTTTTTCTTGATCTGGTTTTAAACCAGTTACTGCATTTATATAACTTTCATCGGCAAGATTAAAATGAGGTAGACTGACAAATGCAGGTGCATTGAATTTACAACTTGATACATTTAATGTTCCACTTGGTTGACATTCTACACCTTGGCAATAACAAGCTCGAGATGGTACTTTCGTACCATTATCGAACATTCTTGATGTAGAAATAAATTTTTTACCGATTAAACCATTATGTTCAGACGTATTATGATACTCTAAATTAAGTAATGTGCAAACATCCGGTGCAAAAACAGGTACAGTAGCATTATCAGGAAGAACAGGCCATAAGTCACCTAATGTGCCATTAATATGGCCACATTGACCAGGAAAATATTTAGATTTGTTACTGTAGTTCCATTCTTGAAGAATTCCAGTACTAGTAAGAGTTGATAATCCTGTCCGTACATTAAAAGTTCCATCGTTAAAGTCCGATCCATTTCGCTGCAATAACATAAATAAATTATTCGCATTTATTCAGAAAACCATAGTTTATAAAATTATATTCATTTCTCAATGACAATGACTGTAAATAATTTAATTATTTATGAAATACCTACAGCATAGAACCAACCGAATCTGGTATATGGGACAGTTGTAAGATTTAATTTAGTAGCAACTTCTAAGAATTTATCTTCATAGCCATCAAATAATACTTCTCGAACAGATTTGGTTATTGTTGTACTTTCATTGAACATCTCTAATGCAATATTAACCATTCGTTGAATAAATTCTGATTTATATCTCATTTGGTATCCTACTGACTGTGAAGATATGAAAAATAATAATAAATGTATGAGACAACTATTAAATAATAAAATTTTTTTCAATTAACAACTTACTGCAGCTATAGGATTTAAATTAGTCACACGGTCATTTAGAGTTCCATTTGACATGGATTCCTGAAAAATCCAAATTCTTTTCTGTTGGAATGTGACAGTTTCATTATCATTCCATATTTGATTCACTTTATAATCTATTTCTCTGAAAGAAATAAATCATTCATTGTTTCAAGTAAAAAAAATAGTTGAAATACATTGGATACAATTAAATCAAATAAGTGACTTACTGGAAAACATAAGGCCCTAATTCATTAAAATGCGGTTTTGATTCTGGATTTTTAAAGTCATGAGGATTTGTCCAATTAAATAAATAAACTTTTAGATACATAGGAATTGGCGTTTTCTCCCATAATAAATAACTTTGTGAAGTTGGAGATAATATAAGCTCCTGTAAAAATAGCAATTATGAATTGATGACACAGCGATGATTAATTTATCATATATTGATAAAAAAGCTGGTATTTTTTATGATTATTAAACAGTAAATAATATAACATAAAATATAAATTTATAAACTTACATGTCGAAGTATTCTATCGAATATCGAACTCCAATAAAATCCTACAGCTACACCAGTAATAATTGCAATTGTTGCAATGCCAAAAATAATTCCCAGCGTAATTTTAGAAACCCCCATTTTTGGGGGAGTTTGTCTGAAACAAAAAAATTATTTTTATTATTTCAAGGTTGTTATGTACTGTTTTATTGACTTTTCAGCTCATATGAACATAGCATCACCAGCTGTAAGTACCCTACAACAGCTGGTTTAATGAACTTAATTAAAAATATCTTAATTAAATAAAATTCAAACATATCTTACATTTGTGGACTGTCAACATCTTGCAAGTCATTAGAAACCAATGATTCTAATGACATTTTTACTATAATTTGGGGTTAGAATAGATATTCTCTTAACTCAACGGAATAACAATCATATCACAGTAATTAATTTCTGCTATGATTACTCCAAATGATATGGCAATCATCTTCTCACGAAGATAACACTAGCAAATACCATTTTTAGCACAAAATTACTTCGAAATTGTATGTGTAAGCTCATCGAGCAGTGTTGTTGCATGACTATTTGACTGACTGACATGTAGTGGTTATATTTTCATCTAATACTGATATCACCATGTCAACTTGGTTATTGGATATTAATGACAAATTAGATAAAACTTAGAATATATAATTATAAAAATTTATGGAGAAACTAGTATTTAAATTCAGGCCTATATATTTCATAGCTACATCTTACAGACCTACCGCAAATTTTCATCTACAGATAAAATAGTATCTAGTCTATTTGATATCTAGATAAATTAAAATATGATTCAAAATAGACCTTGACTTCTGTACAACGTCATATATTTTTCTTGTATAAAAATTATTTATAAAAATGATTTTAACTCAATAACGATACATTTTGAATTATTACTTTAGTTTTTCTTAGTGTAGTCTCTGATCAAAATTTTTGCTGACATCACGACAAAATAAAGAAAACAAAACTTTTTACATTGAACAGAGGAAAAAATAAATTTTTCTTTATTTATTTGTGAAAGAAAATTCAAACCAATAATACTATAAGATTTATTTTTATTAAGATAATAATCTAATATTATTTTTTTTTTTTCAATTTATTGTAAGATTGCATTTATTTATATAAATTAGGAATTTTTTTTAAATCAATTTGTAAATTTTTAAAAAATCTTACCGTTGTATCACAATATTTTTATTTGTAAAATTCGCTGCTCTTGGCCTCACATCATTTGGCAATAACTGATTACTCATTTTATTTAGCAATGGTTTTTGACTAGCTTCAACTTCAGAACTTAACTTTCTAGGTACAAATAATTTCAAAGCACTTATTTAAATGAGTCAAGTTATGTTGTAAAGCAGAAGTGGAGTAAAGAAATTAGATAGGACCTTATAAATTTGTAAGTTTGTTGTTGATGATAATAATGATTAAATTCTCTTATCAAATATTTGTTGGCGACTTTCAAATATTATTACTAGTAGCTGTCCAAGCCCGGTAGATAATGTACTTTTACGTGATAAAATAAACGTTTCAATTCTAAACAATCAACATTGCAGTTCCTCAAATTTACGTATGAAGTGCAAATTGAAGAAAGGTTAATATTACTACGATAACGATAAGTTACAAACTATTTTTTGCATAACAAATTAAAATTTCTCAAATTTTAACATTCTATACTATAAATTCTTGTTGATTATATAAATTTATAGATTTATGTAAAAAGGAAATTGTTAGTTTGATGCAGCTATGTTTTAATTAATTCTATTTTTGGCATTGATGTAGGAGAAAATAGCACTGTTATGAAACAATTTTCTACATTCATGTTTATAAAAAGCTTGAAAATAAATTCATAGATTTTATGAGAGGTATTTGTTGGAAAAAAAAAATGCAAAAAATCTTTGCAGGCTGGACAGAATTAATTTGATGTCGGAAAAAAACATAAATATATTGAAAAAAGTTACAATATTAAAAAAAAATAATAATAAAAACATGCAAATGATGAACTTGATAGGAAAGAATAATGAATTTGTATTATTAATTATCTATTCAAATCTCACTGCATTGGTATAAGATCAGAAGATTTATGATTATTTTTATTCTTCATCTCCATATTGCCCGTATCATCACTGTCAATCAACGAAATTCAGGAATTGTGAGAAATTCGATTATCAAATTGAACTATGGACGTGTTTGTATGTCATGTCAGCAGACACTTTTTATTAAATTAAAACAAATTTTTTATCGTTTCTATGATACTTGATTTTTATCAGATGTGCTTATTTAATTAGTGATAATCTGATTAAGTTTATTTTTATTAAATCTTTTTTTATTACAAACTACCACTAAGTTTTTATAAAAATCGATTACATCTTAAATTATTGATTACTAGACTTAGACTGATGTTATATCGTAGATATGCTAAATGAAAGATTGTTTAACAATTATGATATTCATCAGAAGAACTTGTCATAAGTATCAGTAAGTAATCGAGAGTTGACTAAAGTTCATTTTATTAACGTGTGTGACTTTTTGCGAATAGATTATATTGATGATTAATCAGTTGTATGAATGTAAAATGATAATTAATTTATAATTATTGTTATTATTTTCTATATCATTATGATAATAATTTTCTAAATGAGTATCAAACTAGTTTAATGCTCAGTTCAGTCAATGTGCATTTTAAATACGAAATTTCGTGGCACAAGTCGGGACCGGGTTCATTTAATAGAGAAAAATGCGCTGAATTTAATGAACTAATTCCCAGTCAAAAAAATCAGCCGCGTCATATTGTTATAATAAGAATCGTTGGTGGGTGTTTTGTGATAATTAAAAAAAATTATTAATAAAGTTGATATCACTTCTTAGTCAACTTTATCTCGAATTCATTAGCCAATAATTATTAAAAATCAATATTATTCAAAGTTTATGTGTTCTGGAGAATAATGATGTTTATATAAATATTGAATACCAGTTTTTGAAATAATTTATTCTATTTCAAAGATCATAATTTATGTTATCATTATTATTTTATTATTGCAACTCAAGTAATTTTAGAGTCAAAGGGTCGATTATTTCATAAGTGCTAGTTGAACTCTACAAAGACTTAATTTTCTTTAATGTTCTATAACCTGATTAATCAAAATTAGTTTAAGAAAATTAACTATGTAATTTATATTTTTTCTATCAATTATGTAAAATATTTACACAATATTTTTTTTCTGACCAGAGACAAAAGACATCAAGTATGACTAAGTGTTAGCTAACTGATATTACAATAGTTAATGTTATTCGTCAAGTCTTGGTTTTTTTTTAATTAGTTGTAGTTAATCGGAAATGTGCAACATGATGACTGATGAGTAATGAGTATAAATAACAAAGTAAGGCAAAATAATTTATAAATGAATTAAAAAAGTATGATAGTACCAATGTATGAATCAGAGAATCCTTTACATTGGCCAATATTTGTTATTTGCAGCTAGAGTGATTATGCCTATCGAACAGCAATTTAAGAGAAAGTGGAGAGGATATTTATAGTGAATGATTTTCTCACTTTCTAATTTGAAGAAAATGGTAAAAGACTGTTGTAATTACTAGTTTTTATTACAATGTAATGTTTTTATGTTTAATATTAAGAAATATATTTGAAATGCAATTTTTCAGATAATTAGTATAATTTAAAATTAGTTAATTGATTATATGCAAAATTTTATCATTTTCAAATACTTACTACTTATAAAAAACAACCGTCAAAATTGCACTCGAATTAAATCACTCAGTATGAAGATTATCGGAGCATTTATTGATATATTGTCTATGCAATCGGTCAATGTACTGATCACATCATTTTCACTTTTTGCACTTGTATTTGATTTGATAAGAATAACTGGTAGATTCGGAAAGGCCCGTTGCAACGACCAGTTGAGTCGTGAAGACTGGTTTGGATAAATATTCTTTCACATGTTTATTCATTGCTGAGTTTCATACACAAGATGTAAAGTGGGGGAAAGAGAAATGAATCAGATGGAAAATAAAAAAACAATTCCACTATATTTATCTCATAAAACTTTTTTTTTTTATTTTATTACTTAAATTCATCAATACACACATGTAAAAAGCTGTGATGCTTGAGGATGATTCAATTTTAATGTAAAATAAAGTTATTAGTTTTGAACAATAAACTGCGTTGATGAAAGCAATAATAGCATAAAATTAGGAGAATTTCATTTCAAATTATAAATTATTTTTTGAGCTGATATAAATGTTAATTCATGCAACTCTATGATGATTTTAACCAAAAATATCTGACAATTTGAAATGTAAATAAATTTATTCTTCAACCCAAAAACATTGTCAACAATTAATTTTTTTTTGTTTAGTCTTACTAGGTTTTTTTTAATTACAACGCTTCAAAAATGAAGCAAGAATGTAATTTTAGACAACACAATATAATCAACAGTGAGCTAGAGTGTAGCTTTTGAATATGTAGAGATAAAGCTGTATGACTTTAATGACATCTCGTCATTAGAGTGAATATGTATATTTAATAAAAAATATTAATTATATTTCAAAAGGTCCTGGATCTTTTTTTTTGATACGGCCCAAAGCGATCGAAATGCCGATAAATTTGCGTGATAAAAAAAAATATTTTTTCAGTCAAGTATGCCTAATTTTTGCCTTATTTACGAGATATTACATAAATAATTTTTAAATAAAAAAAAATATGACGCGGCTGTCGTTTTTGGCTGGGAATTAGTTCATTAAATTCAGCGCATTTTTCTCTATAAAATGAGCCCGGTCCCGACTTGTGTCCCGGAATTTTTTATTAACCCTGTTTTCTGCTGCACATTGACTGGACTATCAATGAAACTTATCAATAACACTATTCATTCGAAATTAATAGATTTTATTTTCAAAAATGTAAAATCGAGGTTCTCTATTATATTGAATTTAATAACTACAAAAACTTAGAAGTGTTGACACAACAGCTATAGTCCTAAAAAACAGAAAGTGATTTATAACCCTTCGAAATACAACCAACAACAGCGAGCTAGAGTGAAGCTTTTGAATATGTAGAGATAGAGCTGCATGATTTTTGCATTTAATGACATCGTGTCATTAAAGTGAATATATGGATGAATGAAAGAATTTTTAAATTACGAGTTTTTTTCTACTAAAAAATTTTCGAGTCAATGTTTTAAATTGTAAAAACAACAAAACATACAGTTATAGTTCATTTTTTTTTTTTTTTAGTTTAGTTGGAAAGTACAGTAGATGCTTTAATCGAAAAATCAGAAATAGAACATTCGATTAAATTGTATCAACTTTAATACTTACGCCAATTAGCGTAGTTTATTATTACAATAAATACTTATATTAAATATTATATTAAATACTATATATTATCATTATTTTTAAATGGACGGTTGAGTTTCAATCATTTAATTAAATATAAAGACTAACATTTATTGTAATACTAATAAATTAGTTGAACTGTTCATCATATCTTCCTGCATTTGGTTACTGTCCCTGAGTCTCGTACACATTAAACTGTACTCTAGGACCCCAATTCGAACGTTCATTTCGGAAATTTCCGTTTTCAGTTTATTGATCGTCTTCTTGATGTTAACAAGGGGAGCTAAAAATATGGATATATTGAAATTTCATGAAAATTGATGTTGAACAAAGGAATATTTTAAGATAAGATAAAAAATTGATTGAATAAATAGTTACATTGAATGGATTAAATTTTTATGATGTGTTAATCTACATGAATTATTTAAATAAAAATCTTTAGTGATTTAATGAAATTGACAACAATGGACTATTGATCTTATTGTATGATTAATCATTTTTCTTCAGTTGTATTTTATATTTTTATATACTTACTTCCATCAGTCATACTGGATCCTCTTTCATCCATTTCTTTCTTCACTTGCTCCAGTTCTTCGGACAATTTATTTAATGTCCGTGTCCGTTCAGTAACGCCTCCACTGACATCTCGGTAATGTTCCTTTATTTTTGATAACTCTTCCTAAAAGCAAAATGATATAAACATTTTATGACACATTCGAAATAAAGATGAATCACGTTTAAATAACATGTCTTTATCGTCGTGAAAATTATTACTTGGATATTTCTAAATTCATTTAATGCAGGTTCTAATTGATTATTCAGGTACATTTCTCGCATCTTCACTTTCTCTAATGTATTTTCGATATCAGTATGTAGTTTTTCTAATTGATTTTTTGTTCCATTTAAACCAGTTGCAATATTGGCTTTAAATTGTTTCATTTGCTCTAAGTGAGCCCTCCAGTCCCTAGGATCTATCAGAAAAAATTCATTAATAATGTATGATATAACATAAAAGAAATTTTTTTTTAGAACAATCAAAATCAAATAACATTATACATATCATTACCTGTTTTTATAGTGACTTTTAGTTGGGGTAATACTCTTTCTAACTCCAACTTCCATTCTTCAGCATCAGTTTGAGATTCCAGAAAGTTATCAGGCTTCTGGACATCTTCCTAATATTAAATAATATTATTAATAGTATATCTATCAAATTATTATAAAAATTACGAAGAAAAAAAATTTTTTACCATAGTTTTTCCATAAAGTTTAGTAATATCATCAATATGTAAAATATCATCATCTTCTTCATCACAGTCTGCCATCATTTCTTCTTCAACCTTCTCTAAAATCAACTCTGCATCATCATCATCTATTTCTGGCTCTTGTTCTGGCTCATCTGGAGGGATTTCTACTCTAAAAATTCGTAATTTATTATATTAATAAATTATTCATTCTCTTTGATGCACGAATTTAAAAAAAAATTTAATTATCGATTAAATTACTTTTTCCATTTAAATTTGGAAGCTTTGAGAGCTTGGTCTGCTAAATTATCTAACACAAAGACAGCTCGTTCTCCAGCACCTTGCTTCAATTTATTAGGAGAGAATTCCACCGGAACTCCGAATTCTTTTAAACGATCTATAATTAATGATATTGTAACATTAGGGTCATCAGATTCCTGAGGTGGATCAAACGTTTTTCCAGCTTTTCTTATTAACCAAGCAGCCATAGATGAAAACAAATAAAATTGCTCCCCAGGGTTTGTAGGAATTGCAAAATAATGTCTGTAAACAATAAAATCAAGTATTTACAATTACGAAAAATGATAGAAAATATTATTAAGCCCCAAATTAATAATAATTTACCTGTTAATAGGTTTCATTTTTAACTCCTGAACAAATTCATTCTCATAATTTAATATTTTCAGCTTTTCCAACAAATCTTCCATCCAAATATAAGGAACAAATGGAGCTGATGGTGCTTCATTATCTTCAATAACAATTTTTGGACCGTCTCGAAACATTTTTCTGTGAATATTATTTTTGTAAACACTTTATCCTTGACATTACACTTGTTATGAGTTGCTACCAAACTAATTACACGTTCAAAGTCACAACAAACCTAGGAAAAAATAGAATGTTCAGGTTGGTATAAATTAATTAGAGCCTCGACAGTCGGTACATTTTGATTGCGTTCACGTTTTGTTGTATCAAATTTTGACTTGTAATGAATAAATCATTCAAATAAAAGATTATGACATCAAAAGTAATTATATAAGCTTGGTGAATGATAGTGTAATCAATTGAATGACGTGTTATAAATATTTTTATTGAATACCGCTACCATGAGTTTTCTTTCGGAGCCGCTTTTATTTGCTTTTTCACTCTTAGATACAGGCGCTATACTCTTTGTTTTAGTGTATTTTGTATCCTTTCTTATACTATTTATCAAAAGTTGAATCAACAAAAATTTATCGAAACAAAAAATTCCTTTTTTTCCCAAAATAATAAATATTATTTTTTATTGCTAGTTAATCGGAATTCTAGTCCACACATCTAAAGAGTTATTTCTTTTACGTTGGTATCAGTGAGGCGCGCAGAATTTGAATAGACAAATATAATGCTATATATTTTTACCATAAAATTCTTTTTTATTTTAAATTTAAAATGTATAATGTTATTTTCCTCAATAGTGATTTAGGTCATTGCACTGTCTGATCTCGAATGTGATTATCTGAATGCCCAAGAATGTTGTTCAAGATTAAATTCGGTAATTGATACTTAAACATGCTTTGAATTTTCTACCCATTTATTTACAAATTTTTTTTTTATATTATTGAGTATAAAGTTTAAATAAATGCTAAACATTTTTTTTAATACAGTATAATTATTTTACGTATTGATTTACATTTTAAGTTTATTTGTAACTTATGTTGTCAATTCAATTTTATAATGAATATTTTTATTTTTTCTAGTGGGTTGTACCAAAGATTGTGGCACATACTCTGTTAAATCTTTTACTATTGCTCCATGGGCAATGGAATCTAGCTTTAGTAAACCTACCAATGAGCCTGTGGCTATGTTATGAATTTTTCACAATTCCTCAAGGCAACTTGGGTGTTTTTGATCCTACAGAAATTCATAATAGCGGCCAACTAAAAAAACACACGCGAGACTGCATGATATACCTTGGATATTACCTTATCTTCTTTTTCATTTATCTTTACTGGTAAGTACCCTTTTTCTTCCATTTCTTAATTAAAAAATTATTTTTCAAAGATTAACTTTATTATATTTTTATTTTAGTATGATAATAGCTTTACTACGAGGAGATCCTATAAACAGAAAAGACGACGATGTTGTTGAATTTTAAATAAAGAAAAAAGTCATCACCATAAACTTGCTTCTCCTTTGTGAAAGTTTTTTCAAACATTGGCTTGAAACACTTCAGTATCTACAATCTACAATCAATCATTTTTGCATAATTTCAGTAATATATTTAAGAATGCGATAAAATTTTGTGACTTTTAATGATCAATTTTTTACAATTATTTATCAATTACATTTTTTATGATATTTCAAAGTAAATCATATTCTTGTAGATATAAGATTAAAATTTCTAGTCGAATTATTGAATGAAAAAGCAAATAAATTGTCATAATATTTCTTAATTATAATTTGATAATTTTATTTATCGTCAATTCATTACTTCCTTAATTAATATTTATTCAGTAAATAATAAATACGTTCAAGCACTGTAAAAGTTTCAATTCTCCAAGTAATGAAAAATTTTGATGTGCATTCTTCTTAAAAATTAATTTATTCTTCTGCTTCAGGAACAATATTTAAATAATAATTTTTCTTTTATAAGATAAGTAGGCCAGTAAATAAGTGCATCCCAAAAGTAAACGAATAAATATAATATAAAGAGTTAAAAGAAGATTAAATTAAAAATAATATTATAAAAAAATGAATTCAGGTAAGAAAAAACTTTCTCTTTAACTTGTTAGTAATTTTTTCATTACTTTACTTCAAAAACATTTAATGACCGCTATTTTATTATTTCTATTATATTCCACGATAAAATTGGTTGATCCTTGGCACTGGCAGTAAAATAAACGTAATCACTCAACTTTGAATCACTATTTATTTAGATAATTATCTCAGAAAATTCTCTTATCAAGATGTCCATGGATTTAAATAACTAAATATCTTAAGACCTGAAAGTACTCCTTATCGGGGTTATTATATCGTTTATATGTCATTAGCAATAAGTTTTTATCTGATCACACAATCTCTAACACCTTTCTATTTCTCTTATTGACTTAATCTAAATTTAGGCTTTTAATTAAGATGAAATATTTCTTGAAGGTTGATTTAACAAACTTTGAATGCTTTTACAAAATTAGATCTGCATAAAGAATCGATAAAGTGATAGTTTTATGATAAAACTAATTCAAGGATATTTAAATGCACGCGCTTTGGATTAAAATCAATTTGAATGCGCGCTCCGACGCGCGCACGCGTTCGACCCTCCATCTGGTGAAGAATTTGTTTGATCTCTATTTCATTCGAAGCAAAGCGAGCAGTGGGTACACAGTCAGATTGAAAAGACCTAGTCCACCCACCGGGAGTGAGCAAAAGAGTAAGATAAAAAGATGAATTTGTGCATAAGGAACAAAGACAAGTGATTTCACACGTACAAACCTTGTATGAGTTATGTGTGAACATTCTTAGGAACTAGACATAAGAAAGTAAATTAGTGTGAGTGAGGGACGAACCGTGGCCGTGGTAAATTGTGTTGTCTGTTGCTTTAAAGGTGGTCGGTGGTTAGACGAGTAGAGGTAGCTATGGTCCATGATGACGATTCTTTCAAGTAAGTTAGCGTTAAATAGAATTTTCGGTTGATTGGAGCCTGTTGTCAATGTCCATCGAGGTTATTGAGGTGCTCTCGTTGTCGTTCCCGCGAGGGTACTGTCAACAAACGAGAATAAACGAAGCAATTGACACGGCTTTCGATGTTGTCGTCAGACAACGTCAAACAAATCTGAGAATTTGGTTGTTGTGAGAACAAAAAAGAGTAAATTAAAAAAGAAAAAAAAGAATACGTCGACAAGTAGAGCTAATAGCTCTTTACATCTTTCGACACACGCCCTTCTTAGGAATGACAAAAACATCGTCGTCTTAGTTGATTTCGAGCACCAGCTCTTGTCAACGTGATTTACTTCCTGGCTATTATTTCACTTGGAAGTGAAGATTATTACTGACATTCAAGATGATGTCAAATAACAAACAACCCTCGATCAACATGGGACAGACAAAGCTTGAGGAAGCTTTCCAACAGCTTCAAGTCGGCGAAAAGTTCATCAAGTGGGATGAGGTCAGTAAAACTAAAACTTGGTGTATTTGAATTATTTAAAAAAATTGTCATTTGTTATCCTTTAACCATAAAAACTATAATGAAGTTTCGGGTCCATCCGATTAATGTTGCCCACGGCATGATAAACAACGAGTACCGGTAAACAAACAGAACATCATTAGTTTAGCCAATTGGAAAAAACTATCAATAATACTTCAAGTATTTGGAGAGACTTTGTTTACTTAACTTTATTATTACAAAAAAAAACGTATGTTGAACAATTTTATTTTTAGTAATTGTATTGTGTAAAAATAAAAACTTTTTACTACTGTTTTAATTTACTGACGAGACATAATCGAATTCATTTTATTTTTAAAGTAATTAAGAGTAACTAAAATATATATTTATCAATATTACGTTACTGAGAGGATTTTGTATTTATTGCATTCACGATATTAATTAAATTGCAAGCGTTTATTTTGATTTAATCTAAACGTAATTATTTTGACAATTAAATTTGATTCAAACAATTTACAGGATTCTGGGGATAAGATCAATGCAACTCCAGTGACCCTCCGAGTAGATGAGTTTGGCTTTTATTTATATTGGATAGATCAAAATAATGAGGTGGACATGCTTGACATAGCTCTTATACGAGACACAAGAACAGGAAAATATGCCAAAATTCCTAAGGTAAATTTTTTACTTTATTAACATAAATTAGTATTCAAGAATCAGAAATAAAAATGTATGCAATTCTTCTATTGACCTTTTATGCTACACTGATCGACTCATTGCTCTTCTAGAAGTTACTTATTTTCTAAATTACAAGTTAAAGTCTAGCTACTAGACATGGCATTTTAGTCTCACTGCTAAAAGTATACTTTTATCAAAGCTGGTGATCAACTGTAATGCTCAAAGTTGCCTGGAATCCTATAATTATATCATGTCATTGCATACATGCCAATGACGCACATCACATCACTGCGACATAATAATTATTGACAAATTTATAAATAGAATATTACCTACTTTGCCCTTAGATTTTTTTTCTCATTCACACCTACATGTATATCATAGTTCATAATCTTTTTTATATGGAGAAAAAAGTCTTCAACTCTTCATTGAGTTCAATTTCCCTATAATCAATAGATATTTTCCTAACTAAACATACTTGGAACATCTTTGTTGATCCTAATGCCTTATTTCATGTCATACTCATTTCCATTGTCAATATTTAATATTAACTTATACATTGTGATAGATGTATGATACATCAGCCGTGAAGTTATAAAAGCAAGTAGATTTATAGAAAATTATTTATAACGTTGAGTTAAATAGATGACCTAACTTTAAATTTCAATAATAATTGTTATTTTATCATTTCCAGGATGCAAAGCTCAAGTCGTTAGTCACAATGGGATCCCAAGATAGTCTCGAAGACAAAACAGTAACTATTTGTTATGGATCTGATTTCGTCAATGTTACCTTTGTAAACTTTTGTACAACAAAAGCAGAAATAGCGCGGCTGTGGACTGACCAATTATTTCAATTGGCTTATAATACAACACAACTTAATAGTAGTACAATGGTGTTTCTTCAGAAAGCTCATACCAAGTTAGTTTTGGGTGCAGATAAGTCAGGAAAAATTCAGATAAAAGAGTAAGTTTATCATATTAATCCACGTAGTGCTTGTCATAATAAAAAAAGGGAATAAGTTATCATTAATAAAATTATCTTATCAATTTAATGTTTAGAAAATTAAAAAATGAAATACATTTTTTTTTACTTATAATTACTTTTCTGATCACGTTGTTATATTACGTATTAAATAATGTCCGGTTGAGAAACTTTTCATCGAATTTTTATTATTTTTTTCTATTTCACTGTAATTAAACGACTTTTTAAATTTATTCCCTTGAACTGCTTATGAAAAATCTAACATTAGATTATTGCAAAAGTCTTTACAATATGTGGTTAACGTAGCAAAATTTATAAATTCTCTTTAATGAACCTTTCATATGAGCCATGATTTATCATGACAATTTAATTAAAATTTTTAGAAGAACAAATCGAAGAATAAAATTACAGAAAAGCTAGGAAATTTAATTCAATTAATCATCATTATTGATAAAAGACTAAAGTTGTAATGAATAAAATATAACATTAAACTCCAATTTAAGCTGGTTACGAAAGACTGGTGATAATCTAATGTATTAAAGATTCAAGATCGAAAATGAAGTAGAGTGAACATGTGTGAAAGTGCGAAAAAGAGAAAGAAAATTTTTTAATAACATTTAGTTGAATGAATGGTGTTTTATTTCAGCATCATAAAAATGTTTACAACAAACAAGGAAGATCGAAAACGTGTCGAGAAAGCACTGGATATTTCCTCATTGCCATCCGGAAAGGTATTTGAGTCGTTCTATTCATAAATAAAAACTTTTTATTAGTTTGCACGCTTAGTTAAACTGTTTTACGCTCCTATGCGTCAATTTTTCGTGGCCACGTGCCAAAGCTACCATTAAATCTCAGTTGGATGTACATTAATGCATTTTACTTTTTGCAAATAACCTTGAGATATCCATTAAAACCATAACCGTTTGCAGATTGTTCAGCATATTTTTTTCGTTTTTATCATCAGTCATCTTATTCATGAAATTCATCATTTAAATATAAGTGAATTGTCTCGGTTTTTTTAAATCATTGTGTAACTTGAATTACAACTTATAAACATTACTTTTATGAACCTTGGAAATTATCGATGTTGTCGTGAGCATTTATATTATTCGTAATAAAGCTTACGTGATACAAAATGTATTTATCATGACATTTTTCAAGGGTTCCATTTGTACGGCATATCCTAAGATTTTTATTTTTATATAACCACCATCAGATATGACCAGAAAAGAGAATGGACGTTTTCAATTGTCGCTGTGTATGATAAAATCTTTCATGCTGAGTTGTGTTTGGGAACAGAAAAGTTATCCGATAATATTACGCTATATTTTACAGAGTAAAACCTACTGGCAGGGATCCAAAGATACACGAGAAAACTATGAATTCATTTTATCAGCTTTATATCTTCTCTTAACTCACTGTTAGGAGTTTTAGTAAAAAAAGACACAATGATTCAAACTGTTGAGACTATTTTATCCTTCAGGTCAAACGATCACAGAGCTTATTGTCAGATATGATAACACTTTACGAATGTCGAATTATCAACAGACATTTTATTTTAATGTTTCACCTCACGTGTTGTGTAATTAGGAAATTTTTCTTCATCTGTTTCTCTACATCAAGCTGTTGACAATTTTTTTTCAATAGTTACTACTTTTTACAATTTATTTTTGATGTTCTAATAATACTTAACCGTAATTTCATCAGTAAAAATATAATTATAAGCTAAATTAAAATACCATTTAATAATTATTAAATACTAATGATATTATAAAAATTTATACTTTTTGTTTTAGAATGATGCCGTACCACTGGAAAAGTTTCAGTTCGAAGACTTTTACAATTTTTATAAGTCTCTTGTTCAACGCACTGATGTAGAAAAGGTTTTTGATGAGATTGTGGGTAATCCAAAGCGCAAATTGATGTCTACATCACAGTTTGTTGACTTCTTGAACCAATCGCAAAGAGATCCAAGGCTCAATGAAATTTTATATCCATATGCTAACGATGCTCGAGCAAGAGATATCATCAATCAGTACGAACCGAACAAAGTAAACGCAAGCAAAGGGCAGTTAAGCTCCGATGGATTTCTAAGATATTTAATGAGCGAAGATAATCCAATCGTTGCGGTTTCCAAGTATGAACTGTCGGATGATATGGATCAACCTCTAGCTCATTACTTTATCAACTCTAGTCATAACACCTATTTAACGGGTGAGTGATGTTATTACTGATTTAAGATTTTATTTTTAAGTCATATCCTATCCACGTATCCATCAATCGATCAATAATATAAGTTCATTACGAATAACAAAATGACTAATTTCTTTTACTTTGATTCTTTATTAGACAAATATGATTAATGGTATCAATGTCATGGTATTTAATTGTGCGTGTAATTGATCCTTAAAAAAAAACGATTGACATTTCATGTATGATGTTGCTATTTCAAAAGTGAAACATAGTATTTTTAACTAATTATTTAATGTTGAATTGCCCTTGAAAGTTAAATTATATTGATAATAATCAAAGCATTAATAAAAGCAGTGAATAATAGAAAAAATCTGAATCAATTTATTTTTATAGTCAACAGCATGAGCTTTTATCTTTCTAATTAATCATGATAATTACTAAATGTTACAATAGTTATTCAAAATGTTTGTTTTACCGATAGGTCATCAATTAACTGGGAAAAGTTCTGTGGAAATTTATCGTCAGTGCTTGCTTTCGGGATGTCGCTGTGTGGAACTCGACTTTTGGAATGGAAAATTCGACGAGCCAGTAATTGTTCATGGGTAAAGTCAATTAAAATAATAGAGTTTATAAAATTCATTGCTTTATTCAATTCTTGTAGACTGGTATATTCATAGTTATGTAGATTCCATTGATAAACCGCATCTATTTTATCAGATACACATTCGTGCCTGAAATATGTGCTCGGGATGTAATCGAGGCAATAGCAGAGAGTGCCTTCAAAACCTCGGAATTCCCGGTTGTACTCAGTTTCGAGAATCATTGCAATCCCCGGCAGCAGGCTAAGATTGCTCAGTATTGTAGGGAGTACTTTGGTGAAATGTTGCTTGATGCCCCCCTCGATTCGCATAAGGTATTGCTAGAAGTAGAAGCTAGTGTAGAAATATATCACAGGTGTGCGGGTTTGTTTTTTGAATTTAATATTTATATTTGTACTTTTATACTAAACTTTTTTCCATATCTGCTTAACAAATTATTGCTTTTATTCCTGACAATATATTTTAAGTGTATAAATTATTTATAGGAATCATTACTTATTTTTTTTCTTTTTTTTTCAAGTTAATTTATAATAAAAATTATAAGTGAAGCTAATTTAAAAGCAGTCATTAATTATAATAATGAAAATATTTCAATATTTGCTAAACATTAAAATTGCCGCAGGCCTGTGTACATATTTAACAGCTGTAAATTGTAGATTAAAATTAGATTTTCCTTGCGAAAAATTGAATGTCGTGAGAAAATCCAATTAAGCCTACCAGGTCATCTAATTTTTTCTCTTATAGCTTGAACCAGGTCAGGAGCTTCCACCGCCGTCTTTTCTTAAACGCAAAATTATTATCAAGAATAAGAAAAAGCATCGAAATCATAAAAAAGATCACAAAAAGCGTCAAAATAATCAAAATACAACAGAAAGTACTCACGAGATCGACGATAATGGAGTAAATCAATCAGCGGACGGAGAAAATCGTCTACCGCCAGATATAATCCCTCAAAATGAAGTTGTTGATGGTAATGATCCGCCAATGGGTAATGAAGATGTATCCCATACTCCTTCAACGATGCTTCAACAGCGACAAGGTAGTAAAGATTCGAATCAGGATGATGATGAAGACGAGGATGAATCTAGTACAGAAGACGATGAGTCTAATGTTGATGATATAAAAATAAGAATGGGAGATAAAGCGCCAGACAAAGCATCGAATGCTAAAGAAACAGAAGCAGGTGCTGAAATATCAGCTCTAGTTAATTATGTACAGCCCGTACACTTTAACAGTTTTGAAAATGCAGAGAAGAAGAATCGTATGTACGAGATGTCCTCATTTGATGAGAAACAAGCAACAACTTTACTTAAAGAAAGACCGCTAGAGTTTGTCAATTACAATAAACATCAGCTATCACGAGTGTATCCAGCTGGAACCCGCTTCGATTCAAGCAACTTCATGCCTCAAGTGTTCTGGAATGCTGGCTGTCAATTGGTTGCTCTAAATTATCAGACGCTAGACCTCGCAATGCAGTTAAACATTGGAATTTTCGAGTACAATCAACGTTGTGGATATCTATTGAAGCCCGAATTCATGAGGAGGAAAGATAGACGATTGGATCCATTTGCCGAGTCTACAGTTGATGGAATTATCGCTGGTACAGTTCGTATTCATGTGATATCCGCTCAATTCTTGAGTGACAAGCGTGTGGGAACATATGTTGAAGTAGATATGTACGGATTACCAGCAGATACTGTGAGAAAGAAGTTTAGAACAAAAATTGTACCAAATAATGGAATCAATCCGATTTACGATGAGGAGCCTTTTATTTTTAAAAAAGTTGTTTTACCTGAATTGGCATCCATCCGAATAGCCGCTTACGAAGATTCTGGTAAATTAATTGGACATCGAGTTCTTCCCGTTGTCGGACTGTGCCCGGGATATCGACATGTAACACTCAGAAATGAGTGCGGTCAACCACGCCCGTTAGCTAGTCTGTTTTTGCATGTCATCGTCAAGGACTATGTTCCTGATGGCTTCAGCGACTTTGCGGAAGCATTGGCGAATCCTATAAAATACCAAAGTGAATTAGAAAAGAGGGCGAAGCAATTGGAAAGATTGATGGATGTTGATGACGGATCTGAAGGCGAAGTTGAGGTGAGTTTTGATGTGAATTTTCTATTGTAGTCTTGCTACTTGTATGACAATACTAATCACACTAATGTAGTTTTTTATAAAAGATTTTTCTTTTTTCTTCATTTAAATTTTTTGTTCTTTTCAGACAAACAAATTTAAATAAACTTTATTTTAATATAATAGCAATTGAAAATAATATTATGCATGGTGGTGTTGTTTATGCTTTTACAGTTGTGTTAATAATTATAATAATTTCTTGTAATGTTTTTACTAACTTGTCTTGGTGTGTTTATGCTTACTAACAATTTAGGAAAAAGATAAAGATAAAAATAAAGATAAGGATAAGGATAAAGATAAAGATAAGGAAAAGGATAAGGATAAAGAAAGGATTGTTAGTGGATCTAGTGCTTCTAAACCTATTGTGAGTTTTGAATGCGAAGTGTAGTAGTTTCTATTTTTGTTCTTCATATGATACCATTAAAATTATAGATGCATTTATTTTTTCAAGGATGAGTCTGCGAAAATCACGAGAATGCAATCTATAGGTGACCAACCCACAGGGACTGGATTGCAAGGTTCACATGGCAGATCATCAACAGCAGGAATTAATTCAACAGATATCACTGAACAAGAAGGGTCAGTGACAACTCCAACTGTCGCTCCTGCTGATATGTCATCGAATAAACTTGCGATCACTGTAACCGCCAGTGAGTTATTGATATTTATGGTGGAATATCTATTTTTTTTATTTTTAATTATAAATATTCACATAAAAGATAAAGAAATTGATGTTATAAATTCTTTGATAGTGAAATGATGTTTCTAAAATTAGAAGAATTAATTAATTTTTTATTTTTAGTCGGAGATGGGATTGAAGCTGAACCGTTGGAGAAATTCATGAATGACAAAATAGTGAAAAAAAAACAGATGAAGTTAGATAAAGAACTTGAAACTCTTCGACGTAAGCATGAAGAAAAAAAAATGCGTGTACAATCAGCAAAAGGATCATCGGATGGTGAAAAAAGAAAAATTAAATTTTCTCCTAGTCAATTGGTGAAACGCCTGTCAAATAGAAACATGTGAGTATTTATTGAAATTATTTATAACTGATTAGTATTCCGCAGGGAAACAAGTAATTTATTTTTAATAAATAATCAGTTGAGTAAGGTGAATAAATAATGAATGCCAGCCTCGGAATCTATTTTATGTATCAATAAATAGTGTCCTAGTTTCAATAATAAATTATAAATAGATATTCTATGGCGGATAACAAATTAATAAATATTAATACAATAAATTTCAATTAATGCGAATTTAGAAATTTATTTTTAATAATAAATAAGGGGTAATATTTAATAAGAAATGATAATTATTCGCTAAATTATCGTTATTGTATTTTATTAATAATCAATTAATAATTTTATGTAACATTGTTATTTAGAGAGTATAATTAATACATATTTTACTGAGTATGCGCTTTGTTTCTGTTTAATTAATCGATTTATTCGTTTAAAATTAAAATTTATTTGTTGTTATTAATAAAATATTTATTTTTCTAGATTCTCTAGTGATGTTGGTTTGAGTAATATAACACCAACAGAATCGTCTGTCCTATCTGATTCTGAATGTCCTAAAGAAAATCGAGATGGTGTTGAAAGCACAGTACGTGGTATCCCAAGAAGTCAGAGTGAACGATATTTAGCCGTTTGTAAACAACAATTACAGGAGGTCCGAGCTCTTCGAGAGAAATACAACGAAATTGTGTTCGCTGAAGCAGAAAAATTAATGAATAAATCGCAAGAGAATCAAATGAAAACGTTACGAGAGTTGTTGGACACAGAAACCAATAATGTAATGTGCAAGCTGCAAACGATGCGGTATGGTGAGGTATGTAATTGAAATAGTTAAAATAAAATTTTATTTTATCATTCTTTACTGATTTTTAAATTTACATTATTAAATAATTCAATAGTTACTTATAAAATAAATTGTGTTTAATAAACAGTTGAAACAATTATCTAAAGTACATAAGGATAAAGCGGAATTGAAGCGTATGAAACGTGAAGTGTCAAAAACAACTGTGGAGAAAGGCGTCAATGAGCGTACGAGATTAACGCAGATTTATGAAAAAAAGAGGTCGGAGCTCGAGAGGCAGCATGAAGAGGTTCGTCAAAGACTTATCGAGGAGAAAAATAAGGTAAAATATTTTTTTAAATATCGATTAAAAAAGATACAAACAATATTAAATATAAGTATTTTATTTTTATTTGAATATTTAAACTTATAAATAATTTTTTCAATTAATTTTAATTATTATAGATAAATTAATTAATATACATATATATTACTTTTTATTTAAAATATTTTTTGTTTAACTTTGACGAATGTGAAAAAGAATTAATTTTTTTCTGTAGGTAAAGGCAGCTCTGAATGATGAATACACTAGTCTTTATAATAAATACGAAATTGGTGAGTTAGCAAAATTACCTTCGGGTAGTAAAAGTATCGCAGAGTCACTCAGCGAAACATATTGACTTCTTTAATACATAAAATAGTGATACGATTTATCAAATAAATTAAACAAAGTTCGTGTTTTGTGTGAAGACTGTGCGTCTTCGAAGAAATAAACATCGACGCATTTACTTCATGAATAATAAGCAAAAGACGTGATAACACTGAGGAATTGGATCTTCAAGTGTCAAAATCTACATTAGATAAATCAATTTTGTCTTCAACGTCTCTGTAAATTGATGGCTATTATGAGACAAATAATTCAAGTAGAAATGTCCGTACAGTGTACGACATATCATAAGTCATTTTCTTTTTAATGACAACTCTTACTTGTTTGTTTCGTTTTTTTTTTACAGTATTAGAAAGTAAATGTTTTATGTCATTATCTTGAGCAATTTAAATTGAATGAATTTAAGTGAAAAAAAGTAATGGATATTTTTTGATGGTAACTAATTCTAAATAAGCATACTGTCCGAAATAATTGCTCTCCATCTTGTTGTTATATAAATAAGAAGTTATTTATTCAGGAAAAAAAAACAACTAATCAAAGTCTAATCACGTCCTGTATCGCAGAATAATTTATTAGAGACGTATTTGTCAGCATAAATTGGATGTTTAGATTGTTTTCCGATAGGAAAAATAAGATCGTGAATTTTTGAATATCATCATGAGCTTTCTTTTGGCCTAGGCATTGGAAAATAGGAAGACATATTTGATTGATACAAAATTGACTGAAAGTATTACCTGAAAAACATTCTTTGGGGGGTAATTAAAATAACAAAAATTTAATAAAAATATGAACTAAAGATAATAATAATAAGTCTGGAATCGTAGGTGATAAATTATCGGATAATGTATTAGGTCATAACATTGAAAAAAAAACATAGGATTACACAATTGATGAGCAGCTTTGGTGGCTTTATTTTTTGTGGCAGTTTTTGAAAAAAAAAAAAAATCGTGAAAAGTTTTACATTCATCATCTTTTTGGAAATGAGTAATTCTGGTTAAATGACCGCATTGAGGAAGACAATCAAAAATGTTACATGATAAGCATTTAGAAGTAACATTTTCCCTAATTGTTTTTGATTATATCTCAAAAATTTACTTATAATAATCGAATCCTCATTAATTTTACGACATAGATAAGGTATAAAGATCTGCGTATTGTAATTTTCTGAACAAATAATTATTGACGCACTATTACTAATATCAATATTAATATATTACTTTTTTCTAAGTATTGATTTATTTTCCATTTAAAACATTGGTTTCAAATTAATTCCAGATCATGTAAATTTTTCAAAAAAATATGATCAACCATTTGAAACCAATTATTTTAAATGGCGGTGGGATTTAAGAACGTCAGGGGATTTTACTCTTGGAATAAAATATGTATTAAGAGAGTAAAATTATTCTACAAATAATGAATAACAAGTCATTGATAATAATTGAAATTTAATATTAATATTATTGATAGCATTTCTCCGAGTCATTATTGCCATTACGCTTATTGTTATTTGTCGGCATAATGATTTTACAATAAATAAGTAAATTATCCGACGATGTTTTAATCAAACCGCCAATCAATATAGCGGGACGTGTTGTGATATTAATGGATCTCAAAGCAATCGTAGGATTGAAAAAAAATCTACGACTAAGAGGAGGTTATTAAAATATTACCATCAATATTACTCTAAATTCTTATTCGAAAAAAGTACAATATGCTTCTACTTCTCATTGTCACTAAAATTAATGGTTGACTGATCTATTTGCTACTAAGATTATAATTATAATTAAATTTAAATGATTAAACAAGTCTAATTATGGGATGAATTAAAAATTGTGTTATATCATCAATTAATATTTCAATTAAAATGCAGTTGTGAATTTTATTGCAAGTTTTAATAGTTTTATGGAATTATATTAAGATTTATCTTTAATCAAAACTCCGATTGATTACAATATAATACTGAAGGGAAAAAAATTCTAAATAATTGGAGAATGAGAAAATATTAAATCGAGCTTCAATACTCTTTAGAAAGCAATACAAAAAAGTTCAACGATGAAGTAAAAAATCATAGAGAATCTTAAATCGACTAAACCGATCCTCCTGAGTCCATTTATCCATTATACTTAACTAAGGATTGCATTTTCTAGATATTAATTGTATAATTGTATAAAAAACTATAGGAGAATAAGCGCAAGTTTTTAAAATTAATTTAACGTTGATGTGATGTAAATTATTATCAAAGATAATTGATATTCATGAATTGCAGAAACCATACAATGTTCAAATGAAGTTACCATTATGTTTGCTAAAATATCTAACTATTTTATTCATTGATTTATATACACATCTATTATATATTTTTTAAGCTATAAGCGCTAAAAAATATGATTAAAAAAAATTGATCAATGATTTTTAATTGAAAATGTATTTTTATGCATTATTGAATAGATTATTGAGAAAAAATATTCTGTGACAGAGATCATATATGTGAAAGAGTAATCTAAAGTTTATAAAAGAATTGATACAAAAAATTTTTTTTTAACAAAAAGTTTTCAAAACCATGAAAATTTTTGAATCAATTTTTGTTGCTGAAACAGACTTCGTAATTTTACTGATTGTGCTCAGAACGTTGTTTTAAAGGAATTATTTAATAAGTCAGAAAGTTTTATTGTACATTGCCTTGCGATTTCTCCTAAATTTTTCTTCCATGCCATATACATGATACATATACATAATATATATAAAAACAAAATATATATATATATATATATATATACATAAATGTATTTATACAAATGGGTATGTATAGAAAGTAATGATTAATAATTAATGATAGAGATTATTATATATTCGCGTTGATATAATATGTGTTGTTGCTGTTGATGTTGTTAATTATAAATGTAGTCAACGAGTAGCTAGACAAACTGATATTTTAGTCTTTGTTCGTGTATAACAGATAAGAAATATGTCAAGATTTGGATGCGCTGACTTGCCAAGGTATCAAGCGCGTACTTTCTGAGCCAATGTCTGAGTTGAATTTTTAAATTGAATGGAAATGATGATTTTCTAAACAAAAAAGTATAATAATTAGCTGTCTTCCCTATGAATGAAACTAAAAATTCTATATACCAAAATGTTAACTTAAATTATTTATTTTATCAATCTATAACATAAATATTTTTTAAAATATTTACATTCACTTGAAAAAAAAAACATTATCCATCAATTTAAAAATTATTCACATTTAATAATACATTTTATTGTACAACTCTATTGATTTGAACTTTCTTTCTAAGCACATGCAAGGCTCGCTAGTCGCGTTTGAAATTACGACGCTTATTTTCTGTTATTTTAGTATCATTTGTTTCGATGCATTGTTTCATCTGATGTAAGGTATATTTATAAGATGAAATCAGCATCGAGATTAGTGGTATTAATCAATGAATGATATATCATTAACAATTGATGAAGATTTTATTTCAAGGAGTGCCACATAAATTATTATTTACTACAAAAAAAATAATAAATTTATGCTCACGCGCGCTTTGAACTTTATCAATAGGACACCAATTTATTCCTAAGTATAAATGTAATAAAACGGCCTATTGACTAATCGTAGCTTTTACTCACTTTTATTCTTTGTAATTTTGCGGAAATTTCAATTTGATTGAAGAATTGGAAACTCTTTATTTCTAACAACACTATTTCTCTATCTCTGTACAAAACAAAATAACTCAAGTATCATTCTTACAACGACTTCTGGTACCTGGCTAATGCCACCAACTCAATACAGTTAAATCTTTTAATGAATTCATAATTGATTAACAAAAAAGGTCTGTGTATATTTATTTTGAAAAATGTTTTTTTAATAACAAAAATAAAACTGCAAAAATTAATGAATATTTATTAGCTATTACAGACCTATGTTGTGTTGTTGACAAAAGTAAACAGTAAATTTTAAAAAACGTGATTTTTTTTTATTTTAGTTGAAAAAATAAAACTAAACGAAATTACCAGAAAGTTATTTTTGATCATACTCTTGAAAAGTACATTTTTATTGCTTAAAAAGCTGTTGCTATTAGCATATCTTTATGTAAGTTCAAGGGAAGCTATTCTCGAAGACTCTATGATAGTATCGAAGCTACGAAGTCTCTTTAGCTATTTAATCTAATCTATATAATGTAAAACTACTCAAGAATGTTTGCCAAACGATGAGCATCGGATAAAACTTGGCATTTATCAAGTTTTGAAGATATGATTCCTCTCATACAATGAGTCTCATTTGAATCTCATTCTCAAGACTAAGTTTTTTGTCTAATGCTCATTAATGTGCATACATTGATGTACGAATGAGGAAAGAATCTTAAATTATATGAATGAATTGTGAATTAATATTTTATTCGTTATTCATGAAATATATCTAAACTTGATTATTTTTCATTATATTACCGTCGTAACTATATTATAATTATTATAATTATGTATAACATATGAAAATAATTATTATTGTCTTCCTCTGGTAGCTTTGAAAAGTCACTATCGAATTTACAGCAATTTTTAACAAACTTTTATTATTGTAAATTTATTTATTTATTTTATATTGTATCGTTAAATTTATTGATTAATGGTTGTAATGTATTATAGTATTGACTAAGCGCACAGAGTGGCTGAGAAAGATTAAGAGTGTTCTGCCATATTTGTAGGCTTGTTAAAATTTTTGAGTTTATTTTTTTTTCTTTCGTTTATTATTTTTTTGTTGGTCAGAATAATAATTATTATTGTTAAAGTTATTATACACACTTTTTTTTAATTGTTAGCACTTGTAAATTATTCCACATTTAATGTGTTAGAACTCTGATATTTTTTGATTTTATATTAATTCCAATTTTGCTCAACGGACGTCTGTGTTATTTTTATCTATAAATTGAATCTATTTAAAAAAAATTTTTTTCGTAAAATTTAATTGGCATTAAAAATTAATGAATCGTGTTATTTTAAATTCTAACGGCTACGCTTTAATTATTATAAACCGCCGACAATAAGTTTATAAGCGCTTATTTGAAGCGCGATGGAATTGCTTTAATGCGCAGCTTTTGGAATAAATGTCGGTAGAAAAAGTTTAAAAGAAAAAAAATGTAAGGAAAAAAATTTTCTCACAAGCTCCGTAGTTGCATAAAAAATTTATTTATAGACTATATACACTACATCTATGTATACATAAATATTATGATATACATTCATAAACTTATATATATATTTTACGATGAAAGTACATAATCGTTAAAATATAAATTACAATATCGCAATTAACGTAATGAAATTACTCTTAACTCCTTGATAGATTAGTAACGTACATGAACAAAAAGACTCTAAAATGTTATTTAATGAATAAACATTCCAAAAAGAGATAATTTATATGCTCTTAATTATCAATAAATTAATCAAATGGATTTTAAGTAGTTTATTCATTGAAAATTAGAGATAAATTAATGCCAAATGAATAAAATACTAAAGTTCAACTTGAAATTGTGGGGAAAATTAATTAACAAATAATTTAAATGAGTCTTATGGTATATAAAAATACTAGTTAATGTACGAAAAGATGATTTTAGATGAGAAGGGGTCATACTCGAAAAGTAGTCATCGTCCTATGATTTCCTCTCTGACTCACTTGTGCCTTGCCCTCGAGTATTCCTCACTTTTTCTGTACTTAATAAATTTCCTCTCTTAATCAATGCGTTTTCTATAGATCAATTAGAATAATTTATTATAACAAAAAGGTAAAAAAAAAAAAATATTTCGATGTTCGATGTTTGCTTCTATCGACGTAAGTTTATTAAAATTAAATTGTCCAATAATAAACGTGCTGTATTACATATGTCAGTATGCGAATTAAAATCTGCATACATAAAACGCACGATGTATATTTAATTTATTATTGTAAAGCGTCGGCAAGGCGCGACAGGATATTAATAATTAAATAAGTGTGTATATCATAATTAAGGATAGTTTAGGGAATCCTTTAAATAAAAAAAAAAAAAAAGAAATTTCTAAAAATACGATAAATGGAAAATAGAAATATTTATTTCCCAATTTTCCATTAAAATTTCTTTTGTATGACATGACTGGAAAAATTAAGTTGTATGAAATTCTCTGTACTTCGATGTTAAAATTAACCCGAGGTCTTATTAATTTATCTGACGTAAGTGAAGTTAAAAACAGTATACGTAATATTTTTTATCTTAACTGTGAGGTCGAAAAGACATAAGAAAATTTCATTAACTTTAACTTTGATTAATAATAATTTGATAAGACCTCGAAATAATTGTAGCTTGAAGTTAAACCTAATAGATCTTTTAGTACCTAGATAATTATTAACTTGTAGAATCGATTGTATTTTTTAGTGATTAGATTAGATAAATTGTTACCTGCTGTATGAAAATAAAATACCATGTACATCAATAGTACAAAAATTCATGTAATTAATTCATTATATCAATATGAATAATAATTATATAATTTAGTTAGAATTACGTTATGTTCACAGAATAATGACAGTTCTAATTGAATGATAAGAAAAAATATTAAAGTAATTTGATTCAAGTGTTATTTTTATTTCATTTAGTATCATAATTATTTCTAAAACATAGTTATATCCAAAAAGTTTTATTTCATTTTTATATTTACTACTTTAATCTTTTTTTTTCAAAAAAGTAACTAATTAATAAGAGACATAATTTTTAAGTTAAATATTTTATTCCAACAATTAAATTTATGGTTTTATTTTACAAAAATACTTTCATTATATCATTTAATTTTTTACATAAATATAAAAGTTTATTTGAAATAATGATTGTAATTTTATAACAAAGTATGGAATAATTTCTGTTTACAATTTAACAAATAAGTTAGAAATTGAAACTAAAATCCTTAAGCTGGTTTCTTGAAGTATGCTATTAACAGCTCATATCTATCAAGCACACTATATCCATTAGATTTATTCTTTTGACTTTCAAATATTATTTTATCTCGTACAACTTCCCTCGTTATTTCAACTTTATATTCATCTTTCAAATCGTTTGGAATTCTATTAAAGAATGGATTTACTGCGATAATATGCTCTGAAAGAATCAAGATTCAAATGTTATTACTCCAATATTTACAAACTTTTGACAGCTTCTTTGCATAGACTTTATTACCTAAACTTACTTTGTAAAATTTCCATGCTCTCGAAGACGAACGTTTTCTCCCTGTTGCTGCAGTGCAGCACTTCAAAGCCCACTTCCTCCAAAGTTTTCTTCATCATTGCTCTTGGATTAGGACAGCTGTGATATTCTGGAACATACCTTGAGGCATCCTGTAATAATAAATTTTATTAAAACCATTCCAAATTTTCAGTTGAATATTTAATTTTTTATTTACCTCCATGTACGGTTTATATCGAGAATTGTTTTGCATTCTTATATAAGCATCGAACCCACTATTATGAGATAAGAACATGACCAGACCTCGACCTCCTGGTCTTAGAAGCTTATAAATATTCTCAAGAGCAAGCCTAAATATTTTTTTATTATATTAATATTAAATATAAAACAATATTCAAAGTAAAAAGTACGTTTATTGATGTTATTAAGTTGATGTACCTCATGTTTTGACACCAGTGAAGACAGTAAAAGGAAAGAGCATGATCATATTTTTCATGTTCTTTGATAGGTAGATCTTCATCCTCAATATTTAACTGTTTGAATGACAGTCTTTCTTCTTTTTGATGATTTTTATTGGCATATGTGACCATCGATTCTGAAATATCAACACCCACAACAATTGAGTCAGTTGGCAATTTCGGTAAAATAAGCTCTTTAGTGATGTGGCCAGGACCACATCCAATATCTATGCACTTTCCATGCATCACAGCCAATTCATCGGCAAATTCTTCAATTACTTCGTTGGCATCACGACGTTGCACGTCAAAAGCTTCTGTATATCTTTTACACTCCATAATAGCTTTAATAAATTTTCAACTTTATCGCAATATCAATTCTTGACTGGTTTCATAAAACAGATTTATATTTTATTGATAAAATGAATATTATATTTTTAGTTATCACACTTAAATCTTTGGATTGTGATTTAAATAACTTTAAATAAAGTGATTTTGAATAATAGTCAATTTCACTGGTGATTCGGGGCCTAATGTTTTACTGAAAACATTCTGGACTGGGCCACTGCATTTATATAGTCAAGTCCCACCTCTCTTCTATACACCATGTCTAAACTATTCGAGCTTTATTTTTGTAACGATTGTCAAGGACTTATGTATGAATTCGCGCGAAATCTTCTAGAAAATTCAATAGACAATTTTAGAAAAATTATTCCGCATATATTTCACAATTACTTTTAAAAGTACTTCCGTAGTTTATTTTATTTTTAACTTTGTCGATTTTTTGAAAATCTCTAATGAAAAAAAAAAAAATTCTCAAACGAATAAAACTATAATTTTTTTTTTTTTAAAATAAAATAATTTTATCAGTAATAAAGTTTACTTAATTGTTCAGTTATTTGAGTTAGCAAGAAAAAATATGTTAATTTATTCTCTCAAATGCCTACGTTTTCTTTTTTGGCTCTTCTATTTGATATTCTTTATAGTCTAGGAATCCCAAGGGGTCATTGTACTTGCTAAAAAATTGAAGGGAAAAATAAACCCAAGAGTTACATAAGACTGTCGTAAGGTTTTGAGTTAGGTCATGCTTTAGCTACATCTATTGTGGGAATTATCGACCTTATCATAGTCAACAATTTTTATAGTGTGACATTTAAAGGGTTTTAGTAAGAGCTTAATTTATATCACTCATTTATCTTTTGTATCTTAATTCCTGAGTAGATCATAGGCATGCGCAGAGATAGTTAGAATTGTCAATTTAATTAAAGTAATATCCGCCGCCAAAATTCATTTAATCTTAAGTCGTAATAATAACAAGCCTACCAGGATGATTGTAATGATGAATAAATAAACATACAATTAAATAGAATGTGGTGACATATAAAATGATATTTTTATTTATGAGAATAGTAATTCTATAATAATTCGTAAATAAAACTTTTAAGTGATCATTTATTATGTAAAGTTCATGGAGTAAACTTGTCTGATAAACGAGAACGATGGCCATGCTCAACCATTTTCAACGGATAAGAGAAGTGAGACTGTGATAATCTCGTTTCCACCCAGTAAGTGCATTATAACTCCTGTAGCTGTTCCGGGGGTCAGACCGTATGCGACTTGTGCAATATGTTTGATTAATAATTAGAGCACTTTCCCGGGTATCCTCGATGCTTCCTTCATATCCTCACTTTAGTTTTCATTCCTCTGTCCCTTCTCACTTCATCTAAAACTGTCTATTGCATATACTCGAGTTGATCACGATATCCATCTAAATTTCAAAATTATCAGTTATTCATTGCATTTACTCCATCACCTTATTTTTTATTATTTATGTACTCGTTTCAATATCTTTAATATTTTTTTAAAATTTATTCAAATGTTAGAGTCTGCTAATTAATGTTAAATACACATTTGTTGATGAGATTACATTTATGAAAATCATTTATTTATTGCTAGAAAAAATAAATATTATTTGAAATATTTATTTAAATTAATTTAATTATAAATAATGTTAGAAAAAAAAAAGTAGAATTTATTTAATAGGAAGAGAAGGATTGCGATGCGCTTGGCAAATTTATTTATTCAGTCACGCAATTCGTCTTGGTGGAAATAAGTTTAAAGAATTATTATCCAACAGTTGAAATTCATTTGGAAGCAAGTGTGTGTTTGTGTGGGGTGACTGATTTGTATGAGAATATTTGACATTTTAGACGGAGTCAAATCGTTGACTTCTCCGTCGGGCTTTTCTCTGACGCCAAGTCTTATCTCTCGTTCACATGTATTTGCTTTTTGGACAGTGGCCCTAATTACGTATGCGTTGGCACACTCTATACATACAGGCGCATTTTGTCCTAGGGACGACCCTTTTCCAGACAAATATATATATTTCATAAATACATCTGAGTTACGATTTTTTTCTCTTCTGTCTTTTTGATATACTTCAGCTTTATTATTTATTTATTTGCTATTTTAAATTGCATCTCATACATTCCTAGCATTCATGAATTAGAGTAGTTTTTTTTTAATATTTAAATTTATTTTTCTAAAATAATTTAAACATTTTTTTTTTCTATTCATTGGATGTTTGTCGCATATTTCTTTCTTCGATGATTCACCAGACATATTTATCTATTTGGAGGTGTTAGAATATGGAAAATTATATCACTTATTGTCGCGACGAATTAAACAAGAAACTAGGTCACGATTCTAATTCTATTGAAAATGAATAATTTATTTGCCATCAAGAACTAAGTTATTTTTTATAGTAAATATTGAGGTAAGAAGAATTTTTCATGAACAAATTTTATTCGGCTTGATATTAAATATTTTTCAATACTCCAGAGGTTCTTGATAAAAGCGTTCAAATAGAATTCAAATCAATCATATCCATTATCCAATATTATATAGCCAAAAAATTTATATTCATTGATATTAAATAAAATTTTTTTTCGAATGTCAAATTTTTTTTTATCTGCTCACAATATTTTGTTTAAAAATAAACAAAATAAAAAAATACCAATTGTTTAACTATATTTAAAACAATTTATTATAATTAATTAATATTGTCAATTTATTCTTCGTAAAATTATTTTTTTATTTTTTATTTTAAATTACAACAAGATTTTTTCCTATTTTTATTTGCTTTTTGTCTTCACCTTTTCATTCCTCGGATCTCATTCTCTTTTCTATCGTAGTACTAGAACGGACAGCCACCTTTTCAGGAAAGTAACAAAGCGGCTGGTCGGTCCCGGGAGGTAAAGCTCAACGGGTGCGAGAGCTGGGTAAGCTCTCTACAGCGATGTCGACTATGGTGAGCGGGACAAGACGGGTTGGTAAGGAGACTGAAGGTTGAGAGAGGGAAGAAAAAGCGAAGATGGATATATATAGAGAGAGAGAAAGAAGCAGGGGTTTCTGAGGGATTTAGCTAGCCCGTTTGCTCGTGCGAAAACCACAAGCATCCGATACTCGATCAGCCGGCGAAGCAGAGAATGAAAGAGGATTGAAACGCTCAGAGAAAAACAACAGAGAAAAGGGTCTTAGAAAAGATGGATATTTTTCATCAAAAGTAATAATATATAGTGGATGGTTTTTTTTTTTAATTGACGTCAGAAGAGTTTTGTGTGGTAATAACATTTATTAAGTTATCGTATTCAAGAGAACTTTTATTATTTATTCTTACGAATTGAATTGTTCAGGATGATAAATGTATGTCTTAATATGTTATCATTGATTTTTCATAACAATGGACAATAATTACATTTAAAGATATAGATAGGTATATACGTCATAAGATTTTCGTAATATTGAGAGATGTATTTTTAACAGAACCTTAGGGCAACGTAATACTTAGGGGCATAATAATGACTTTAAATTTCTCTTCTTTTTAATGGAAAAGTGATTTGTCAATTAATTTTGCTAAACAATACCTATTGTCTTAGTCAAATTGTCTAGAAGACTCAATGTTTTTCAACTTGGTTTAGGTACAATTGATAAAATTAATGAAGTATATAAGTTTTTAACTAAATTATCACCAATTATTTGTATATAAAATTTTGAAACAATATAATGAATTGAATGTAACAGATGAAAATTAATGAATATTTTCCTAAAATAATTAACCGTAATACAGAAAACAATGAAATTCATTACAATTGTTTATTGATGAGTTCTTTTCAAATAATCTAAGTAGAAAAATTAAGTATAACAAAATTTATTCGATTGTTTTAATGTACAATTTTACCTACTGTCCGACTTTTATGCAGATGAATTAGATCATTAATATTAAATTAACATAAAAATTACAATACATAATTATAATACTGTTGGTAATTTAATAAACAATGCTTTGTTTAAGAAGACATAATTTTATTCAATAATTATCTTTAAAAAATGATTTATTACAGTGATGACAAATTCTATTGTATAAGCAAATTAATGAGATCATTGACACGAAATCAATATTCAAATCATTAACATTAAAATGAATATTACAATATTACAATAAGTAATAATAATTGTGTTACCAGTTTGATAAAATACTTTGAGAAGAAATAATATTATCCAACAATTACATTAAAAAACCATTAGTTACATTGATAATAAATTTTATTGTCACCAATTAAGATTAATTAATCATTAATAAACTTAATTAGCATGATATAAAAATTCTTTATTACCAATAAATATTAAAAAAAAAATTTGTTAAGTTTACATTAGGGAAGATTTCATTTATTCTAGATCATAAAATAGAAAAAAATTCCCATAGCATCGATTAAATAATAATTAAAGTATCCAACTAAAGTTAGTGATAATATATAACGAAGATTACTCTTCCACGACATTGATTCTCGTCAATTGCTCGATGTTCACGCGACTCGTCAAACACTTTCCCTTTAGCCTATAAAATTTACTCGTTAGTCATTTGGAAATTTCGACTTTAATCGCAGCAATCTAAACTTCCTCCTCGACGTCATGAATATAGATGATGAATACAGTAGAGAGAACCGCTTCCGGGACATCCTTGTGTGACGTTTAGTCAATGGCATCTTTTCCCTCGTCCTAACGTCTTTTTAATTGGGTTACCACAAACTTTATCCTTTTTTTTTTCTCATCTTCTATCTTCTTCCCTCCGATGAGAAAAAGCTTTCTCGAGTTACTCCCGTACCTATACTTTCTTGCAAACTCTTCATGCCTTAAGAACATTATTTATTGAATTATCTTATTTTAGTATTAGTTAAAATAAGATAAAACAAAAAGGTACAAAATTGTTTTCTTTAGTAGTCAATGTATGTGTGTGTGTGTGTGTTCTATTGGAAAACACCAAGTGAGATATATGACGGGATTATGCGCGATGGCGTTTTAGAGTCGAACAGCACTATTCTCCGCTCCGTCAATTATGCTAATTTCGATTGCCGAGAGATTAATGAAAGACGGCAGTATCGAAGAAGAGTCGAGAACTAGTCGAGAGGACACTCCTACTCGATATGGACCAGGGAAACGTGACGTTCTCGTTCGGAGCTGT